TGAAAGTTCAACACTAAAAGATTAAGTGACATTATTTATGTAATGTAATTTCAAGACAGAATACACTGTACGTATTTAAATAGAATAACAATATGTCTATAGTCTGTATTTACATTATGTCATGTTACAAAACAATATGTACGGAAGATTAAAAATTCTGTTGAAAAATAATGCATTTAAATGTTACAGTATTAATCTGATTAGTGGGATTAGATATTCTTTAAACTTTCTACTTTATCCATTCTTAGGTTCCTAGAATTTTATCAGAAAGTGTATTATTCCTTGAAACCCTTATGCACTGCTGCTGGGAATATAAAATGGTGCAGCCACTGTGGAAAACAGGTAGATCCTCAAAAATTAAACATAGAAATACTATGTGATACCAGCAATTCCACTTCTAGGCATATACCCCAAAGGACTGAAAGTAGGGACTCAGATATTTGTACATCGTACATTCATAGCAACACTATGCACAATAGCCAAAAGGTGAAATGACCCAAATGTTATATTATGGTTATTTGTCTGCCAAATATTGGCAGACAAATGGAGAAACCAAAGGTGGTGTATACATACAGCGGAATAATACCCAGGTTTAAAAAGATACATGTTACAGAATGGACAAACCTCAGAGACACTGGGCTAAGTGAAATAAACCAGACAGGAAAGGAGGTATATTTTTGATTTCACTCACAATAGTCAAATTCATAGAGCTAGAAAGCAAAATAGTGTGAACAGCAACTGGGAAAATAGGGGTGAGGGGAGTTACTGTTTATGGGTACAGAGTTTCAATTTGGAATGATGAAAAAATTCTGAAGATGGATATTGGTGATAGCTGCACAGTAATAAGAATTGTTGGCGCTGAAGTGTACATTTTAAAACAGCTGAAGTGGTAAGGTTTGTTACATATATTTTACCACAATAAAAAAATCTCTATAATCAGAATTTTTTTAAACCAATATTTTACCTTTGCTTTTATTTACTTATTTATTTTTATGAAGACTCTTTTAGACCATTTTAGACCACTGAAGGTTCACAGTAAAATTGAGAGGAAGGTACAAAGAAAATTCAATTTCTTTTTTCAAAGAACATGCAATTAGAAATATAACAGAATGAACTGCAAAATGTAATCATTTCCACTAACCTGAAATGGATGCCATTCTGAAATTGAAGTGGAAATCCAAATTTCTTTCTAAAAAGAAAAGAAAAATAATATCAATAATTTTTTAAACAGTACTATTGAATGTATGATAACCTGTCACTAAGCACAAAAAATGTTAGAAAGATTGAAATCAGAGGCTATCTCCATCCATATAAAAGAATATAATAACCATTTTCCCCCATTATTTTAAATACCTCTTTTGCTGACACCATTAAAAAACTGCTCATAAACTCCTTACTGAAATATGATTTAATAGCAAAGGATAATTCAACATAAAATATGTTCAGAAATGAATGAGTTATAGCAGGCCTTCCAGACAGAAGTATTAAGCTAGATATTGTTAAAATAAAACAAACGAACAGAGACCAGCACTGAAAATTTCCTGAGCAGACAAAACCAGTTCAGTCATACAAAGCTTAATTTATCTTATATTGTAAGACAACTTGACCTGGGTCATTGCTGGTTTATGCCACTGGAAATCATAACATAACTTTAACCATTTCCCAAGGTTGATATGAGGTAACCAACAACTAATACCCTATCACTTAAGAAATGTTAATATTATAACCAATTACTGTGAATAACAGTCATTGCCTTCTCACTATATAAGCTGTTTTGTAACAATATACCCCAGAGCCTCGTTCCATGTTTTGGTTTGAATTCTCCTGGCTTGCAAATTTTCCTTTTGGTGTGTGCACAATAAACTTTTATTAATTATTACTTCAGTGATTCACTAGCTGCTATTTCTGAACTTCTGACATTTAATGGTGGCAGAAGTGGGATCCAAAGAGGGAACACCACACACACACCCAACAACTTGATGCCTGTGAGCAACCAGGTGCTGCGACCCACAGGGCCCACTGAGCTATTTTCTCATCAACCCCGGTGTTTGGGAGTAAATGTTTCCTGGAGCTGAGCTCTGCTTCTTTTGCATTTTAAGCTGGCTTTATTTTACATAACTGTGTTTTGAACTGGTAAGTCCCTATTCTGTTGAAAAGGGGAAAACATGAAACAGAACACAAATATGACATCATATACATAAAATGAGAGGGGACAAATATTTTTTAAAGTAGCGCTTTTAGAATGTGTTCAAACTTAAGTAACCATCAACCTAATATAGACTGTATATATGTAGGAGGATATATATGAACCTCAAGATACCCACAAGTGAAAAAGCTGTAACAGATACACAAAAAGTAAGAGATGGGAATGCATGACACTACAGAAAATCATCAAATCCCAAAGGAAGAGAGCAAGAAAAAAAAGAAATAGGGAACTACAAAACAACTAGGAAACAATTAACAACATGACAATAAGTATATACCTATTAATAGTTACTTTAAATGTAAACGGACTAAATGCTTAATCAAAGAAACAAAGGGTGAAGAATGGATTAAAAAAGAAGACCAATCTGTATGGTACCAAGAAGACATTCACTTCAGACCTAAAGAAACACACACTGAACATGAAGGAACAGAAAAAGATAGTCCATGCAAATAGAAGTGCAAATAGAGCTGGAGTAGAAATACTTAAATTAGACAAAATAGAATTCAAAACAAAGAATTTAACAAGAGACAGCTGAGTGACTCAACTACAGAAACAGTGAATACGTGTTTTTTCAGCCGGACTACAATACAAAGACAAAATTATGTTTCAGTAATACATTTATGGATGTCAGACTCTAGTACTCTTAATTGTTTTTGAAGTTTCGTTTTCTACCTATAAACTGGACTGGCTCCTGAATTCTTCTAATTTCCTTCAATATTTGGCCAGAACTCTCCAAACTAGCATTTGCAATTTTCTCCCAATCTTGGAATCACTATAAAGTAAAACTGCCCTCTTCCCCAAGCCATGCAAGCTAAAGCTGGGCAACTTGACATAAACTGCAGAGAAACCATCACAACAGCTCATGTGTGGACAATCTTCATGCCTGTGGTTATGTGGCTGCTCAGAAAGATCATCAATGACATTCAAACATGGAAACCGGGAAGATCTGTCAGGTCGCTGTTGCCTGCCCTCGTTCCATTTGAAAATGCTTAGAACCTGACATCTAGAAATTTTTTCAACTGGTTGTTCTCCAAACACAGAAACTTAATTTATAATTTGCTTTTAACTGTTAACCTTTTTTTTTTCATTTCTATAGAAATGACTGTCATTAAATTACCTGATTGCTTACATCATATAGAGGCCTAATTAGGTGGAAGCTCACCCAACAATACTGCCTACGGAAATAAAACATCCTCAAGGTTCATCCGCCCTAAGTAAGCAGGAGACTATATGATTGATAATGCATTACACTGCACCTATTAAGAGCTTTTAAAAATCACAACAAATTGAATTATTTAACTGGTTAAACCTTGGCTCCTGGGAAGCTCTGCTCCTGGGAATTTTCCAGTCCTTGCCTATTATTCCCTTACAGTCCTCATATTAACTTCTCTAATCACTGTACACTAGAGGGTTTTAAGTGCCTGCCGACAGCCACTCACATGCCAAATAGCAGTCATGAAGATCAGACAGCTGGATGAAATCAACAATAACCCAGAAATGATGAAGACGGTGACCTCATGGCCCTCCAGCTGAGTGACTCAACAACGGAAACAGTGAATATGTGTTTTTGCAGCCTGACTACATTAATAATGGTAACGGAGACTAAAACTAGACCGGTTGGTCATACTCTCGACCTGCTGAAAGAAGACCAAAAGGAAGAACTGTTAGAATTCAAAACAGAGACCAGCCTTGAAAATTCCGAGCAGACAAAACCAGTTTAGTGGTACAAAGTTTAATTCAGCCTATTTTACACGACTAACTTTACCTGGTTCGTTTCTTGTTTATGCCTCTGGAGAACATAAGCAAAACTTAAACTGCTTCCCAAGGTCGAAATGAAGCAACTACTAATCAATTCCCTTTCACTAATATTATAACCTATCACTGTCAAGAATAAACCGTCCCTGCCTTCTCACTATGAGCGCTGCAAGAACAATATACCCCGTGTCTCATTTCATGTTCTGGTTCGAGTTCTCCTGGCTCAAGAACTATCTTTTTGGTGTGTGCACAATCAGCGTTCACTAATTACTACTTCGGTGATTCATTGGCTTCACTTCTGCTATTTCTGGACTCCTGACAGCAGTCATAAGAAATATGATGCTGGAGGAAATGACACTAAGGGGCCCAAGCTCAATGAGACACACATCCCCTCACTTCCCATCACTTGCGTTTAGAAGCAAGAGCAATTTAATAATACCCTCCCTTTCGCTCAGTTCTCCCCAGTGGTGTTTCCCAATAAATGGTGGTGGCCAATAAACAGGGTTTGGTGACCAAGCTTCCTGCATGGAAAATGCTGCAGATAAAGAGGCCCCAGGCAGACGAAGGTGCCTCTAAAGGCCCGAGTCCATCAGAGTTGGGACGATTAACGCCCCTGTCCCAGCGCCAAGATACTGGCGAAAGGAAGTGATCAGTGACAGGCCAGCCTCTCAGGCAGGAAAAGGAAGGATTAACTCTTTCAAACTGGTACAGGAGTTACCCCAAAACCTCCCCACAGGGGTTAAGGGACACCCATCCGCGTCTCCCCAGTCTCCTACCCCAGAGCGCACAGACTCAGGACCGCTACGCACCGGATCGGCCGCTCCCGAGTGAAAACTTCCCGCCACCGGGATTTCCCTTCTCCCCAGCTGGGGACACCCACCCTTCCGGGTCGGCCCATTCAACCAATTGCAAGTAACGCCCTTCTCTAATTGGTAGGGGGTGTGGCCCCGTGCGAGTCACCGAACAATACAACTGGTGATTGGTTTATATTGGCGGCAGGTTTAGCCAATGAGAAGCGTCCTTAATCTGGGGTGGGGGTGGCTGCGTGTTTCCGGAAGACGTGGCGGCTCTCGACTGAGCTGCTTCCCGGCTTCATTTGCCCCTACTGGGCTTCACACCCTGGCGGCCCCGAGGTGCTTTCGCCGCGGCCCTCACCACTGCAGCCATGATCTCCTTAACGGATACCCAGAGTAAGCACTGCCCCGGGGCCCGGCCTGGCCCCGCACACCCCTCGCTGAGGCTGGGTCCCCTCCGTCTTGCCCCTCGCCCTGGTCAATGAATGAAGCTCCACGTTGTGGGGCGGTGGCCGGGAGTCTGAGCTGGGGCTGCGGGGATCGGGAGGGGTGCCCAGAGGAGGCGAGGGCTGGCTTGCAGTGGCGATCTGGCCGCGGTAGACGCCCGAGCAGGGGAGACGCCCGAGCTGGGAAGGGGGAGCTTTCGCCGAGCGTCCGCCTCTCGCCAGGGTCGCCCCGCGCTCACTCCCAGTGAGACTGCGCTTTGTTCTTGCGGACCCGCCGCAGGAGAAAGTTTGCTGCACGATGCGCGCAGCCCGCTCTTGGGGACGTTTCTGCATTTGACATTCTTGGGGCACTCTACGAGTTACTGACTGGTTGCTTGGAAAGTGGCATTTTAAATCTCACCTATTGTAGGCTCTTTTTGGAATTAAGCTTACACTTAAATAACTTGACTATTCGCCTCTGGCACCACAGGAAGCAACTTTCCAGAATCCCTTAAGACGACTTCACTTTTTTACCACCTAATGTTTCCGCAATAGTAAAAAGCCACTTTGAGTTTGAAAGATTTATTTCATTGTATTGTACATGGTGCTTTGTGGCTTATTACTAATTTAATACCTCTTTCTGCCTGCCACAGAGTTCTGCAGGCCTGTCTTATCTGTAAGGTAGCATTGCTCTTTCCTTTCTTTCACTGTAATATTTCCACTTTACCCCTTTTTTGTCGTTTTTAAGTTTTTTATATCTGCCCAACTGGGTGCATCCTTCCTTTTGATAGTGGTAATAGCCTTTCGTTTCTTAATTCAGTCTACTTGCTTGGATTTTCAAGATTTTTAAGAATTAAACGGCCAGCTGAAATGAAAATAGAACATCATATAAAATGCGCTAATTTAAAGTGGGTCTTAAGGTTTGGGTTCAAGGCATGGCTGACTTGAACTAAACAGAGCATCTAAGGTCTCCTACATTTACTACTACCCCAGTCAGGCGCCCTTCCTTCTTGGGGTTGGACTGAGTGTTCACCTCGGGGCCACCTGTCCTGGCACAGGAAGCGTGCCCATTTTGGTCTATTTTCCTCACCTGCTCCTGTCTGAAAACATTAAGTATAGATATATTTTCTTGTTTGTTTACTGTTAGAATAAAAACTAGCAAATGCATAAAGCATCTTTGAGTTTACCAAGTACTTTCATATAAATCATTACACTTCATTCTTAAAACAGTGCTGTAAGGCAGAGAGAAATGTATCACATGTATACATTAAAGGAGGTTCAGAAGAAATTCAGTATGTGGTATAAGAGGCAAAAGCAAGTCTAGATCCCAGGTCTGCTGGCTCAAAAATCTTTGGTCTTTCTACGGTACCTTACTAGCATCTAAGAAGACCTGATGTAAACTTTGTGATCTCTCTTAGGATGTTGAAATTCTTTCATAACAAAAATAGTTTCAACAGGAGGTAAATATGTATCCTATAAAATTATGCATTGATTTTTTTTTGAGACATTGTGCAGGATATTCAGAGCCTGATTTCTTTATGATTCACAGTACTCTGTTCCTCTTGATTGAAATCCAAAATTAAAATTAGGTTGTCCAAGGAAATTAACAGAATTGTATGCATAAATTTATTTCTAATTCTGCTAATTACTCAGGAAGTAATTTCTACAATTTTCCTATCTAACTAGTGAGGTAAGGGTACTCCTATCAATCTGAGTCTGTGATTATTACATAGATAAAAGTATGTAATAATTTTTATTAAAATGTGTCCAGTGCATAGAGATTCTCTAGTACAAGTGCCTGATTTATATCCTTAAAAATTAAATCCTATAAAAGTCTAGTGTATAGTGATTCTAGTACAAATGCCTGATTTATGTCCTTAAAAACCAGAACAAGGGGGTTGGGTTGGAATACAGGCTGCATATCACATCATTAAATTGATGAAATAGATGAAATTATACTTGCTGCTCGTTGCCAAATATTTTAGGTAGGAGAGCGGACTGGAACTCAACATGATTAATGAATCAAAAGCTCTTTCAAATGGTGTTTGTGTGTGTGTTTGCAGGAATTGGTCATTCAATTGATTTGCCAAGATTCTGGGATTCTGATTCTGGGAAAAGGTGACCAAGCATTGATTAGAACAGAGTAAACAGCAATTTATGATTGTTTTGAAAGATTCTGTAATAGCACCCCTCCATTCACTCTCCCCGCAAAAAAAAGAAAGGATTTATTGAGAGGGTCAGATGGGGCAGTTCCTGTGCTCCCTCTAAAACCTTACTTCATTATGTCACAGTGCCTAGAATGCTACCATGATATTCATTTGAGGTGTTTGATTTGATTAATACTCAGTTGAGTTCTTTATTAAGACATTTTCAGTTTTTTAAAAGGGCATAGGAAGAAATATAGTGGTGATTTTAAAATTTTTAAATGAGATACCAAAATGCTAATGATTGCTATCAGATTAAGCATATCTTTTCCTTACAAAATTTCCACAATAAGCTATTTTAGATAAATTAGTTTTATTAGATTGCTTTTATCAGATTGTTCTTCAAACACACACACAGACAGACAAGAGATGAAGCTATGATAGTTGCAAGAGGAATATAAATTTGCTTGGATATGATGGTAGTGGTGAAAGGGCATCTCTGTAGGGCTTTATTAACCAGGGGGTTTATGAATGCACAGACATAGGGAAGAAGGGGATTCTGGGTTTGAGAAAATGGCACAGTGAAGCCAATTAGAGACTTTTGACCCATTCACATTATGGACTAAGTTGGCAACATCCTGCCGGGCCAATTTGAGCAAACGTGTTTCAGGAAACTGTCCCCTGCTGGACTACACTGGACAAAGTAGGGGGGATCTTCTGGTTCCCCTGTTAGAGTTCTAAGTTATAATGGAGTCCAAAGACTGGATTTTAATTCTAGCCGGACTCCACACCACCGTCAGCCTCCTCCCCTTCTCCCTCTCTTCATATGCACATTTGCTGATTCTGTGATAAAGGTTAAGTTACTGTTCTCTCTGAGTCTTTGGTTGATCATATGAAACATGAGGCAGATGCTACTTTTTTACCTCACACTTTTGCTAAAGGATTTACAACATATTTATATTAAAAACTTCATTAGATCTAAAACCATATTCAGGCATTGTCCTTTTTCCCTTCAGCCAATTTTTAATAGTTCTATTGACCCATACTCGGTTATGTCAGGAAACAAACTAATCATATTAAACTTGAATTGCCTAAAAACACTTGCCACAGAAGTTCATGCCCTTGAGGGTTTTTTTCAACCAAACATATTTAACCTGAAAAAAAGTTGTGTGGGAAGTGTTATGGCATAATTGGTCAAGCACAGGGGTGTTGAATTCAAATAGACCCTGAGTTCAAATGCTTCACCAGAAGTGTGACTTTAAATTAAGTCAGTTCTCCAAAACTCAATATCCTGCCATCTCTAAAATGATGCAGTGATGCCTACCTTACACTAGTACCAGGAGGATTAAGGTGTATAAGATATCTAAAGCATTTCTCAATGGCTAATTCATGGTAAATTTTCAATATAAGTAGGTATATTTCCATGTAATTTCCTTTCTGATGAATAAACATCTCAAATTTTTATGTAATCACAATAATTTGTGAAAAGATTTCACTATATTCAAATAACTTTAGCTAACAGTGATTAAATTCTAACTACTAAATAGTTATGCAATAGAATTTTACTTGTTCTTCTGTCCATACATTTCTCTAGGAAATTATGTCTGACATCCAGACAGTTATCTTGATAAGTTCTCTTAAGGCATTTAAGCATAAAAATATCAGTCTCTAATTTTCACAGGAATTTGTGTCTATGGAATACACTTCCTGGTATATTTATGGGCAGGTAGCTAAATTCTTTTAGACTGAAACTTAGGAGAAAAAGGTAGCTGGAATAGACAGTAGGAGTTAACCGTAACTGAGTATGGGATATAAATGTGCAACTCATCAGAACATTTTATGTGGCTTAAAATTTTTTTAAGTTGCTGTGACCTAGAAATTAGCCTTCTGGAACCAAGGCACAGAAGTTAACAGATCAGAAGTCACTAATATGTATTTACAATTGTGTGTTTCCAAAAATATGGTGGTTTCTGCTCTGATATTTATGTGGTTAGTGCTTCTAGGTAAAGTAAGGATTGCTGACTATTTCCTGAAAACAAAACTAAAATGATAAAGGAGGTGGCTTAGCATATTGTGCTTTGTAGCAATTACAGAAAAATGCAACTTTAACCTTAGGAAGGTAAGACACTTCAGAATAAAAAGTCCTAGAGAACATGAAGGAAATAAAATTATTAGTCTTATGTATGGGGAATGAACATAGACTCCAAAACATAGACTGGGTTCAGCACTATATACTCAGTACCCAAACACTTGCTGGCATCTAGGAGTTGATCAGTAATTCCTCATTTTTGAATGAAAGAGTAAAAACCCAGAATATTAATACTAGGTAAAACATGTTCTTTCAAACTTCGGAGGGGTGATTTTAGGACTATTACACTAAATATGTAAGTGGATTCATCATTTAGATAAATTTGTAGAAGGTAAATCCATGATAAGTCATCAAGAAGTTAAAAGAGCTGCCGAACCATTTGAAAACTAACTTGAAGAGGAAGCTACCTGATTCTCAGAATATTTCCTGTTGCCACTGTGAGAAGGAGTATGTAGTTAAGTAAAATATACTGTGCTGACCCACCATAGCATTTCTAATGGGTTAAAGAAGGAATTAATGTTTAAGAGGGGAAAGAATGAACTACACATTTTGTGCATATAAATTATAGTCATAGAATGTGAAAGGAGACGAATAGTAAAAGTAAACCTGTGTATTAATATCTGATGTCAAAAGGGTTCCTGGGAGGAGGAAAATGTATAACCAAAGGTTTAGAATCCTAATTTATCTTTCTCTATTATGGGTATGTTTATGGGAAGAAATGCTCTCTTATTTAAGGCTTAGAAATTTCTGTTCATATTTTAAATTTTGAGGAAATTTGCTAATGTTGATTGAATTTGTTATAGATCTAAAAGAAATATCATAAAGTTAACCTGCAGTGTTGGGGAGCCATTACCTTATATCAGCCAAAAGAAAAACTGAAAACTGTTCTTTCTCAGTTTACAGGGATTTTAATGTAACTTTAATTTTTTCTCTACCCTTAACCATGTAACTTATATTGCAGAAATTGGAATGGGATTAACAGGATTTGGAGTATTTTTCCTGTTCTTTGGAATGATCCTCTTTTTTGACAAAGCACTGCTGGCTATTGGAAATGTGAGTTTTTCAATATATATTAACTAAATTCATAAGGATATTTTAATGACAAATATACCTGCTATTAAATTTGGGGGAAGTAATTCACTATTACTCATGTAAAGATTCCTGTTACAGTCTCTTTCATCAGGAACAAAACCTGTTAGCTTTCTGTTCAAGTAAAAGGTGAACACTTAATGAGGTCTTCTAAATCCATAACTTCGCTAAGTATTTGATACATAATTTACAATAGATTAAGTCAAGGCTGGCTCTAAAATAGGAATTCAAAGTAAATGACTTGGTAGGTCCCATTTCTTCGTAAATTTAATAATATGTTTTGACTTTAGCATCTGAGATTTCATATTTGGGTCAATAGCATAAAATAAACATTGCTAAGAACCTTTTAAACTTTTTCAAAACATATCTCTATTGTAGTTGGCTTGCTATGAAAAGTGTGCATATTGTTTATTTGGAAAGTCTGTTCTGTTCATATGTGGAGGTTGTGCACAAGTTCTAGAAATAAATAATAACCCATCTAAGAGGGCAATAAAGTCACTGAACAATGATTAAATATCTTTTGAAATATATATTACCATTGGACTTTTAATTGGAAATTGGAAACTATAAAGAATAACAAAATTGTTCAGAATTGGTGTTTTAATAAATAATAACATAAATGGAATTGGAATCTCAGAATATGAAGCTTAACCACCAGGCTTAATAGATACTTTGGTGAAATATTTTTCACTAAAGAAAGTTAAGGAAAAAAGGCAAGTATTTGGGAATGAAACGGGTAAAAAAAGTAAACTTTTCATAAATCACCATATCTTGTCCACTGTCTGAAGACATACAAAATACATGTATATTTGAGAACACCTGGCTGTGCTTTTATTTCTAGTAAAACTAGAATCCTGTTCCTGGCTTTGCATTGTTTTTTCTACTATAACTTGGCCGTCAGTGTTTCATCCGTAGGATCCCCCGCGGCCCGCGGTGCAGTGTGGGGAGCCAGGAGTACCTTCGGGGGATGCATGTGTGGGCAGCTCCCCTCCTCTGCCTTGCCACTCATCTGCTGGACCAAGCCGTCTACGTCTAGCTCAACGTGGTTAAACCACTGTAGGTGCAGGTGCCCCCTGGTAGCATCTAATTTCTCTTTGTTTCCCTTTTTCTCCATTTAATCAAGATAGAAGAGGACTGAGAAGAGGGGATACAATTCCAACTTTAACATGCTTAGCCCGCCCCGTGGTTCTGCCTCACAGGAGCTTTCTCTGCCCCATAGCTCACATCAAAAGCAACATATACTTCCTTTTATTATATTTAGCTTTGACCTTTTCCAGTGTATGCAGTACGTTTGACTACTTTTTTTATGTCGCATTCTTTTTCTTCCAGGTTTTATTTGTGGCTGGCTTGGCTTTTGTGATTGGTTTAGAAAGAACATTCAGATTCTTCTTCCAAAAACATAAAATGAAAGCTACAGGATTTTTCCTGGGTGGTGTATTTGTAGTCCTTATTGGTTGGCCTTTGATAGGCATGATCTTTGAAATTTATGGATTTTTTCTCTTATTCAGGTAAGGCAATCATTTCATTTTATTTTTTTCTCTTTCAATAAACCTGTATGTCAAATACTTACTATAAATACCCAAATATTGCCATCAGCATGAGTAAGAACACTATAATTTTCTTATGTGGCTCTTTATGTTGAATCTTTTATTGCACTTATAGATAATTTAATCAACTATAAAAACATTTATCAAATGTTGGTGATTGCCTGTGTAAGGGTATAAATTACCTTGCAAAGTAGTTTCGAATTGGCATTTTTAAGACACTGTCTTTATGTTTGCTATATTTTCATCAACTGAACAGTGATAGATATATAGATAGATCTAACACTTTAATATATAGAACCTAACACTACATAGTTACTGCCACTTCTTAATTTCTTTAGTGCATTTACATATGAGACAACTTTGTATCAAATACACTATGGGAGAATTTGATCAGTTAATATTTTATAAATATTTCACCAGTTACTGAGTGATTGAATAATAGTGTGCAAATGAGAACATACTTTCAAGTAAGGTTGGCTTAATTATTTATTCAAGAAACACGTATCATTTCTATCTGCCAGGCACTGTGTTACCCATGGGAGACATAAAAATTAATTGAATGCCAGATCTGCACTTAGAGAATCTCTTGTTTCTAATATGGAAAATAGACTGTAAGGATACCCGTAGGATATGGTAGTAATGCCCTTGTAGATATATATGCAGTATATTATAGAAGCATAATTAAGGAAAGGATCAAATCCAGGGAGAGGTAAGAAATGTTGACTGAAGTTTGAAGTCTAAAACATTCAAAATATTTGCAGGGTCGATTGTTTTTACTTGATTAGTGATTGATTTTGGTAACACAGAATGTGTAAGTTCTAAGAACTGTCATTTTCCCTTTAGGGGCTTCTTTCCTGTGATCATTGGCTTTATTAGAAGAGTGCCAGTCCTTGGGTCCCTCTTGAATTTACCTGGAATTAGATCAGTAAGTAATCATGCATTTAGAAACACAATTTTTAAACCATTAAAATAAATACTCCTTGATGTTATTCTAGAAATTTGAGTAATTGATACATGATTGATATTTTTTATTATGATATAAATGATTGCCTCACATAGATCATGGTTATGATGAATACCAGAGAAAATAACCACCGCTAACCTATGACCTTGAAATTTTGTTTCGTCATATCCATTTTTTAATATTGTTCTCTATTTTTTAATGTAACTCAGATTGATACCTTTCTCTTTGAGAGTTCTAGGTACTTTTCAATTAACTTTTATATGATCTCTAATTTTTAAACACAGTAATGTAAAAGAATTATCTCTTATGTCTTATAAAGTTTTTCTTAGACTATATCACCAAATGGAGTGCATTAGATAATTAAATGAAACACTATTATACAGGGAGTCAGATAGTAAAATTCTGTTCCCAGCTCTGTCCACAGTTTGAACAATCTTGTCAAAGTTGTGTCTCTAGGGCAAGCCATCAACTTTCCAAAGTTTTCACAGATTTTTATAGATGTTTCTAGAGAGACAGTCCATAGCATTTTTTGAATTCTCGAAAAGCTAAAGGATGGCTTCCCCACTGAATATTAGGTACCACCGTAAGGCTCCAGTCCCAAGTCAGTTTAGAGTCAGAACCTTCCAGCCCAGATGACATAGATATTTGAGGTGAACTTTGGGGAATGTTGTGCTTTCTCTCCACCTAAATTTACCTTAACACTAATGAATCTGAGTACTTTCATTGCAACTTTTAGTTTCAGTGTGCCAGTCACCTATTTGTGATAATCGAAAATGTTGGAACCTCGGTATAGGGGTGTATCCTGGTTTCATTTGCATTCATCTCAGAACTCATACAGTAATCAGTTTTATTTATGGAATTTAAGTTTACTGGATTGTCAGGTTATAGAGTTGTAATCGTTATTCATGTCCTTAATTTAAGGACTCTTCAGTATTTGCATAAGTGGACACCCAATGCTATCAATTGTTTCCTATTATTACTACTTCATTACAATAAATGCTTGACCAAAAATATGAATAGAGAAATGAAAGAAAGGTTTAAATGAATGCTAGATTTTAACAGTATTATAACCACTTGGGTTATATAACTTTTAATATCGCCACTAATTACTTTGTTACAATATTTGTGTCACCATCTGGAATGCTGAAGAATGCCCAGTGCTGTCTATTTGGGGCTCAAGTAACCAAAGAAATAACCACTTACATTAATATGTGTTAAAATGTATATTCAGTAATTATAACTCTATGCTTGCATCATTACATCTATTTTTAATGTCATGGCCACTGTCAGTCTGAAATCTAGAATGCACATTTAAAGTATTTTGAGTCAGTAACTGTTGTTAATTATTGAACTTAATGGAGTTAAATCTCTTTGTTCAAAGACTACATAGGCCCAGAAGAGACCCACAGTATTGGTTAGTTGAAATATCTTATTGGGTTCGTTAATGCATGAATGGCTGACATTCCAGCTTTTTTTTGTTGTCGTTGTTAAGCTAGCAGTGTTAACTTCATTTTTCCTAATTACTTTATTCATTGTGTTGCATTTTCTCGTGTTGCACCCCTTAAAGTCATATATATAACATGTCATGCAAAAACAACTTTCAGAAAAAAAAAATTTTTTTATACACATTATGTGTCAGAAGATGGTGGTGAAGAGTACTGGATTAATCATTTTCAGTCACACTTCAAATAGCCACAGATTTTCTTATAAAGTTGGTTTTTAAATCAACCCTTAAAATGTTGATAGGTTTTATAATGACATGTGCTTTTCCTTTAATTATGTTTTTCTTCTCCTTGCAGTTTGTAGATAAAGTTGGAGAAAGCAACAATATGGTATAACAACAAGTGAATTGAAGACTCATTTAAAATATTGTATTATTTATAAAATCCTTGGAAGAATATCCAGCACAAAATTAAATTACATGAAATAGCTTGTAATATTCTTTACAGAAGTTTAAAATGTATAGTCCACAAAGTACCAATTGCAGTTAACAAAGAAGCAGTGGAAACAAGCTTCTAGTCCAAGTGATCTAAGAGGTCAGCAAGCAAACTGAAGGAGGTGAATTCTGTGTCACAATACATATTGAAACTCTTGAAGGCAACTTTTATCATTTTTCCACAATGTGTGAAACACAGCCATCCTTAGAGAACTGTCGTGCCTGTTTCTTTTTGTTTTATTTTGAAGGTGCATTTGCCTTTTAGAAATGTTCACTGGAATGGCAAAAAATACTTCCAGTTGCACTGTCTCTCTGAAAGGGGTGCATGAGTTAGATAGGATTAAATCATTTTAATGGATGAAAACCCGGTTTTGACGTATATCAATCACTTTTTTTGGTAAACATATTGTTAAAATAAAACTTTTGTGGTTCTTCCGAAACTTAATATTTTAAAGCCAGATGAAAATCTGAACTAGATATTCTCTGTTGGAATGTGCAAAGGTCATTCTTTACAAGCTTTTAGTTCCTTAAATTATAACTGACTAAGCACTTTTTTGGTTAGCAACACACTTTGGAAATATTCCTACTTCTTGGGAGTCTGACTTAGGTATCTGTGTCATTCATTATATGTAAGCATTTAACAAAAAAGCATTCTTGGCCATGAAGTAGTCTGTTACATAGCTTGTTTCACTGAATAGTCTTTTAAGATAATAATGATGCAAACCAAATAGATTTTTCCACATCATGATGTAGTTTTTCTCCTTTTTAAATTTTAGCAGTGGTTTATTATTTTGCTTTTCATAAATTAAAACAACTATTGGTAATGTTTATTTTAAGTTGTATCATGTTGAAAGGTTAAACTTATAGCTACTTTGTAAATGGATATCATGTAAACTGAGCTTTCCTTTTATTTGCAGCTTTTTCATAGCATAAAAATCAATATGCATGATGTTTGTTTCATGTGATCACTCTTCATCCTGACTTCATGGAGAATATATCTGAGTTCACATGCTAAAGTTACTTTACTGTAATTAAACTGGCTATAGTTTCTTAAAAACACGACACTAAAAAAACTGTGTTATTTTTTTTTACCACTGCTGCTTGATAGGCAGTAAGAAACAGTGGTTGTTTCTTCATTAGTAGTTTTTCAAGGTGACAGCTTTTTTTGATAGATGTAGAAACACATTTCAACACCCATAGTACTATTTGTTTTATCACTAGTGATTGCACTGTTTGCTTTCTTTTTTAAACAGTTGAAAAGTTTTCAATCCATCAAATCATAATTGAAATTTGTGGTTTTTATTTACAAATATGTCTACAAAATATATTACAGCACATGTTATTTTTAGTTAAAATCTTTTGATACACAGAGAACTCTCAACCTTGCTCATCTAAAGAAGGAAAGACTTGGTATATAGTCTAATGGTTCAGTCTTGTGGATTACTGTCTTTTTGGTACTGGCATTTGACTTATGACATAATCTGTGAAAATAGATAATATTGACAGAATGAGACTCCTACCTCAGTAGTTCATAGACTAATAAGAATCCTAGTGTTGTGTCTAATGTTCTTCAAACAAGTAATATCCTCCCTTGGAGAGTGTCAAGTATATACATATTTTGGGGATTGACTTACGTAAGTTGCCCTGTTGGACTCTGTTATACATATTGTTGACTGACCCATATTATTTACAGTGGCTAGATAATTCTTTTTAGAGCAAGAACAGTATCTGTTAATGTAAGGAACATCTGTATTATTTAACAGCTTCTTTGTAGGATTCCTATCAAAATGTTCTTTGCACTGTAACAGAAATCTCTTTTTCAACAATCTTATTTCAGAGAGCATTAATAGACAGAAGCATATAAGGGATTTGATAATCTCCCAGTCCTTAGTAAGATTGAGAGGCTGGAGCAGTTTTCAGTTTTAAATGAGTCCACAGTTAATCTCAAATGTGAATTTGGGACTGTTTGGCAGCAGTATATATTTCTTATTCAAATCCATTGATAAGGCTCTATTTTTAAACATACTAGTCTTCTGACAGAAAGCACTGTGCATTGTATTGTTTCTTCCTTTCCAAAACGAGCCTTCTGTCTTTGTGACAAAAAAAAAAAATACATTGATTATTGCTATAAAGGTGGAGGAAAAGGTCTAATACTACTTAGCCTTAAGTGTTCCTGGCATTGTTCAAATGTATTTTCTGTAACAGAAACATACTTGGAATTTTTTTTCCCCTTTTAAATTGTAATTCCTGAAATAACTGCTGATTTAAAAAGCCTCACAGTCAGATTATATGACCTAACAATTGAATATTGTAAATACACTTGTCTTACCTCTCAATAAAAGGGTACTTTTCTATGAATGGTGGTTGTCTTAGTCAGCTTGGCCTGCTATAACAAAATTCCATAGACGGGGTGGTCTGAACAGCAGACATTTATTTCTCACCCTTCTGGATGCCAGGAAGTCCAAAACAAAGGTGCTCATAGATTCGGTTCCTGGCGAGACCCTCTTTTGGTTGCAGATGGCTGCCTTCTTGCTGTGTCCTCGTGCCGCAGAGAGAGAGCCCTGGTTTTGCTTCCTCTTACAAGGACATTAATCCCATCATGGGGGACCCCATCGTCATAAACTTATCAAAACATAATTACCTCCCAAAAGCCCATCTCCACATACATCCTATTGGGGGGGGTAGGGCTTCAACACACGATTTTCAGGGGAGACACACACGTTCAGTCTCTAACAGTGATCACATGTATATTCATTACAAAATCCTAAAAAGTGATTTAGCATTGCACAGTAATACCTCATTTTTGAAAAATGAGCCTTATACGCAATTTTCTATAAAATGGTCATATCTTTTGCTTCTAGTTTAAGTGCATAAATAGAAATGAACTTCAGTTTAAAAAGTGGGCAGTAAATTTAGGAATTAGTAGAGAAATACTTAAATATTTCTTCTCAAAATGGAAGGAATATGTAACACTTAAGTATTTGTAAAAATGAAACCACTTAACATCTGCAGTGGGTTTTGACTGTAAATTTTGGTAAGGCCAAAAACTACTGGCCAGGTCTCTCACTTAAGATGCCAAATAAATATTTGTTGTATCCAATAATTAAGCTGCAAGTCTTGACTATTTGGTGAACTGGAAGTCTTAACTCTGTTATTAACTATCCAGTGTATCTAACCTTCTCCTCTGGTCAGAAAGGTTCCCACCTCTGCCCTTCTGCTACCTGTATCCATACAGGAGGTTGGAAACTGAAATAGCATGCCCCAAATCCTTCATGGACTGACTGACACTTTTCCATAGCCTTATCTTTTTTAGCTCTCAAGAGCCTAGCAAAAATTCACATCTGTCATATCTTTCTTGATGGACTAGCCCAGAACAGCTGGCCCTTCCTTGTCCTCTCAGAACTTTCCATTTCTCTTCTATTATTTGGCTATGGAAAGAAAATTCTTGAGGTCCAAAGCCTTAAGTAATAGGAAGATAGTAAAGACATTGGCCAATGAATGGGGATTTTTATTTTGGATAGCAGGCTTCTCAGTGCCCCTAACATCCCCTCTAAAAACTAGTAGCCCTTCGAAGAAGTTACTTCTTTACCTGTTTGTGAGACAACTGGCCTATGGGGCAGACAGAATAAAACCAAAGTAGGAGACTGAACCAAAGAACCTAATCCATACTATACCCAAATCCTCTATTCTGTCATTAATTAAGTAATTTGGATATTTTAGTATAATAATAGCCATATTGTTCAGGTAACCTTACCCAAGATAGGAGCTGTAATCACAGACCTTGCAAGTATGCAGTTTAAACAGAGACAGTTATAGTTTAAATGGGCCCAGGCACCTTCCATTCAACAAGAATTCGGATAAAATCAGTGATACAGGCAAAATGGTTTCCATCGAATACACCTTTAAAAAAGGCATAGGATCCAATTTGTTCAATGCCCATTGCCTGGTCATAATGTCGGGAAAAAATTCAGCAAAACTCAATGGGTTTATCCATTAAGGGTTTTTTATCAAATAACTTTTCTTAACCCATCTCTAGATTTAGACCTGTAAAAATACTAAAATTTTGTGATTGAGCAAAAACATTTTATTGGGAGTCAATGCCCTTTAGGACAAACACATTCTGGTATGTTACTTTTAATAAGACTACAAAATTGATAATATGTCAAAACCATCCTCTCCACTTGTGCATATTATATCGGAAAAATGACAGCTTTGACGTAAAACATCTGCTGGAGAGTTCATTAGCAAACGGCTGTAAACAAACTACATTCATTTATTCTTCCTTAAACTAAATTCAAAGGTGATTCGTCTTCCTGTCCCTCTTTCTAAAACCTGTGTTTTGGGAAAGAAGAAGGGAAAAAAACATTTTACTGGTTAGGTAACTGAGTAATTGGGTTTCACTTGCAAGCTCATTTAAAACAAGTACATGCATAATTTTATTTCTTTAATCACTCTTTAAATTGCTACAATTCCTTGAAATTAAATGCTAAAATCTAATATTTTAAGGAATATTAAGATTTTATCTGTTTTTGTTATTAACCTTTTAGTCCATAGTTTTTATCTTTGCCCTCTCCTAAGACTGGAAAACACTCTACTAATGGTTCTTGCTCTTTCTTGCTTTATCTATTCTTTAAAGGAGGTAAATAATTGCTCAAATTTCTACCTGGAAACTACTTTCTATATTCTAGCTTGCACATGACTGTGAAGTCTAAATATCAAGTGCCCAGATCCCAATCTCTTTTATACAAGTAGTTGCCAGTAGATTGCATCAACTCTTCAAAGTTCCAAACCAAACTTACCTGTTCTCTCCTCATACTCCCTGATAGCCCCATACTCCTTGCTAGCCATTCTCCCAGCCCCACAGGGTCTAAGGCTTCATTGTTGCTTACTGTTTTATCACTTCTTTACTACTAAAAATGTCCGTGAATGTGTAGAGTCTCATCCATCACCATCACCATCACTTGAGTGTTGAATTAGAAATGCAGAATTTCAGACGCCATCCCAGCTGTACTAAATTAGAATCTGCATTTTATCAAGACTCCCAGGTGATTAATAAGCACATTAATACCTAAGGGGAGCTGCTCTAACTTTTAAAGGAAAGGGACCATCCCTCTTATCCATGGCACCTTAACGTTTAGTGGGTACCATGATTTCCCTTTTCAGTATCTACCTATGTAATACAACTGTTTCAAATGAATATTAATATACTTGGGATCTTTCCCCTCTTGCCATCTGTGCATTCCTTTTCTGTACTTCTGTTCTACATCATCAATTTCTCCTTCTCTACCAACTATTTCCATCAACAAACATGTCCTGTAAATGGTTTCTTAGTTGTCATCAAGGGATACCAACAAATCTGACTGATTGGGCTTAAGAGGACTTTATGAAAAGGACAGGGCAGGTGCGTCACCATCCTGGAGTCTGCTGTTAGCACGGTGGCGCTGCCCCCACAAACTCAAGCTCATTACAACCATAGCTGCAGGAGGAAGTGTTTCTCCTGATCCCAACTTTCTTCCATCCTTTCTCCAGATTTCCCCTACCAGCAGGCGTATCTGGTTGGTAAAACCTACCCCATTGTGCCTGCAGCATACATAACAGGCCGGGAAAGTGAGTATCTGGTACTTTAGAGTAAAAGGAAGACTCTTCTCCCATGAAAATTCATAATTCCATAATTCATAGTTGAGGGAATTTAAGGAATTCCCTAAAAATAAAAGGGCTCATGTGTCACTGAAAGGCTGAAAATAAACATCCACCACACTCAAGCATCTCATCTTTTTTTTTAAAATTCATTTTTCCTTTACCTCTTTCTGTGAAATGTCTAAAAAAAGATTGTCCACACTTGTCTTTATTTCCTCACATTCTGTTCACTTTCAACTCACTCCAATCTAGCTTATGTCCTCAAAATCCGTCATACTCCCAAATCCAGTGCACATTTCCGGACTTTCAGCTAGCTTGACCTTTCAACATTATTGGGTATTCTGGCTTCCATGGCCTGATGGTCCCCTGGAATTTCTCCTTCTTTTCTGATGTCTTCACCTCAGGTCCCTTTGCTGGCTCTCCCTCTGCTCATTCTCTGTATGCCTGTTTCCATAGCTGATCCCTGACTCTCTTCATTCACTCCCTTAAGTATTCTCATTCAGTTGAATTCTTAAAATTATTAAATCTGATAATTCCTCCTTCTAGAAAAAAAAAACATAAGCTGGTGACCTTTTTGCTGAGCTTTACAGTTTTGCATTTCCAACTGCTTACCTCACACTTTTACTTGGATATCTAGTATACATTTAATTTTAGTATGTCCAAAAGACAACTCTTAATTTCCCTCTTGTAACTGGCTCCTTATGAAGTCCCTCCTATTTCAGTAAATGGCTTCATCATTCACCTAATATTTATGCCAAAATGCCAAGAATCACCCTTGATTTATTTTTTCTCATTCTCTCATATCCTATTTATCCACAAGTTCTATATTTTCTACCTCCAACATGCATCCCAAATTCATTTAAAGTTCTCCATTCGTACCAAGTACACCCAAGTCTAAGCCATCATCATTTTTTGCTTATAACCATACGAACTGGCCCATTTCTTCCTCTCCAAACTCATCTCAAAGTGCCCTCCCGGTCATCTGTCATCCACACAACTTCGACTCATTGGTTTCCTTCCTGTTCCTCAAATGAGCCAAGCTCTTGGCCATCCCAAAAGTGTGCTTTTCTTTCTTCTGCCTGGAATACTAATTCTTACTCCAACTTATCCAGACCCCAGACCCCTTCGATTTTTACCTTCCCTAAAATATCCCACCTTATCACATCACCTTGCTTTTAACATTATAAGGCATTTAAAACATTCCATAATCACCTTCCCTTATTTACCTTTTTATTAGTTTAGAGTGTTTCTCCCCTGACTAGAAGACAAACTCAATCAAAGCAGAGATTGTGTCTTTTTAATGCATGGCTGTGTCCCATGAACCAAAAGAAAGAATGTCTGATATATAGTAGGCATTCCATAAATATCTGTTAATTGATTGAATAGCTAATTATGTGAATAACTGATGTCAAATTCCATTGAGATTTCCTAACCTTTTCATTTCTCCCAATGATTCATCTTTAGTCATCAGTGACATCTTGATGGCTGGTTACCCAAGACTGATTTTCTTACTTTATTCATTTATTTTTTATTCTGCCTGGGTTAGTTATTTTAATTAATAATAATAATAATAATAATAATAATAATGATGATGATGATGATAATAATAAATACCTTGAGGCTAGTGGGAAAAGCAAAGGCAGTGATGCTGATATATTCAGAATATCTCCTGGCCGAGGTGGTCAGTATCTAAACAATGATGTCCATCCATCAATCCATCAATCATTTCTCTTACTTCCTGCAACTGAATCTCCCTGGAGGAGTCATCAGTTCCTCTCAGTCTTGATGACTGACAAGAAGTCCCTGTGGACCCCCTAACTACTGAAGATCAGGCTGGGCCCTTGACGCCAAGATTTTAAAAGCCCCGCCTTCACAGCAAGATTAGGAAACTCACAGGTAAAGTATAACTATTGCAAGTTCTGGAAAGGATTAGAACATGAAGGTAAGTAGAAGTTTTATTTACTTGAGACTTTTTTAGCTATTTTATAAAAAGCTTCATAGCTTTTCACCTATTCTATGCTTAATAAGCATTTTTGAGTCTAGAGGCTATTTAAAAATATGCCTTAAAATACCAGAATCATTTGATTTTACTATGAAAAAATGTACTCATTTGGGTTAAGTGATTAAAATATTTATTATTTATATATTTAATTCTTTAATCGGTCGTTTATTTGTTTCTTTCTTTGTTTAAAGAACTGTTTTGTGGATTAACTAGAAGGTAGGCTCAGGAACAGCCATCTCCCCTACATAATGAGTATTGAAACAGAAGATAGCAACATGTAAGGGGTTTGCAATGGTCCAGCCATCAAAGAAGTAGAAAATCCTGCTGGCACAGAAATGACTTTCTGTTCATCTTTTCTTGTAGGGACTCAGAAGTCTGGTGGCAACAACGTTGGCCCTTTTCCTGGTGTTTTCTTTCGTGGGAAATTGCAGCGGTGCGCCCCAGGTAACCCAGCGCAAACCTGAGGGCTCCCGAACATTCTTTTCTCTTCCCTCCCTTCCTCCTTCTCTCCCCTCCTCTCTCTCTCTCTTTCTTTCCTCACTTTTTCTCTTTCCCCTCCCTGCCCCACTTTCCTTCTTTCTTTTTTTAATAAGACTGGGCTGCGATGCCTCGCGAACCGCTTTTCTGTGCCCCCTGCGTTGCAGAGACTCATGGAGAGAAGGAACTGGACCCCCCAGGCCATGCTCTACCTGAGGGGCGCGCGTACGTCCCCAACCCCCCGCTCCGCCCCCAAACCTCCAGGGCTGCATGAATGCGTGGGACGGACGGACAGCCGCGGGAGTTTGTCCTCTTAAATCATCGGAGTCACCTGGGCTCCGCCAGTCAGGGGGAGGGGCGGGTTGGGGGCTGGGAGGGGGGCGGCGCGGGCGGCCCCGGGGTGGGCGGCGGCCCCGGGGTGCGCGGGCCGCGCGGAGCGGGGGTCGCTGAGCTCGCGCCCGGTCTCTGCAGAGGGGCGCCGCTTCATCTCCCACCAGAGCCGGAGGAAGGACGTCGCCGAGCGGCCCCCGCCGGGTGAGTGGCCGCGGCGAGGCGGCGGGCGGGGCGGCGGAGCCCGGGGTTCGCCCCGAGGGAACGGAGGGGGTGGTGGCAGGGCCAGAGCCCCGGAAGGGTACCTCCCCGAAAGGCAGGACCTTCAGTTTCCTCTTAAACACTGGTGTCATTGTCGTTATTATTATTAACATAGTTTACCCAGAAACGTCAAACCTATGCCCTTGTTGTATTACTGCAAAGGACTATAAAACGGTTCAAACCAGAGATAGTTAATAAGTAGGGTCGGTTAAGAATGGGGCGTGTTACTGGCCTTCCATGTGACCGAGATGTACATCATGATCTCAAACTTCTTTGGGCGGAAGGAGAGGAGGCAGTCCAGGCTCCCCGCAGGATCCCACCAAAACCTTCCTGCCCTGACATTCCATTTTAAGCTCTGAAAGGGGAATTTCTCATGGGCTTTTTATCTGACTCCTCCCTCCTTTCATGAAATTCTCTGTAGCATATAGTTCAAATTCTCTTCTGCACCTGTAATACACAACATGACCAAGTGCAAGTGATGGCCAAGGGACATGCAAAATGTTTCAGTTTATAAAAATCAGTCTTCCGTGTAAGGCATCCTTGTTGACCGATCAAAAGTCTATTTCTGAGGTTTTCCTGATATTACAGCAGACTGCGATAGGATGTAGCCACATGAATACTCAAATGCTAGTAGGATCTGTGTGTGTTTTTGTTTCTCCAGAAAGGCGAAGCCCAAATCCCCAGCTACTAACTCTTCCAGAAGCAGCCCCTGTGTTGATGGCCCCCTTGCAAACCCACAGGAAGGTACAAGCATATGACCTCTTCCAGCTGCTGCACAGACAAGCTTTGATGACTTCTGGGCTTCTGTGCTGAGTACAACAGGGTTGCCTTTACTTACCAGATTTTTAAAAATAATTGACAGTTGCTCCACACACACACACACACAGGCAAATCCCCTGAAGTATTTATTGTATAAAGACCAGTAATTTCTCATTGAAGTGAGTCCCAAGAACATAAAAAGATTTCCCTGATGGCACTGGAGAATTTCATATTAATTCCACAATCCAGAGCCTAGTGTAACCTTTATTTCTCTTAGAGTGCTAGAACTGAAAAAGCTCAAAGTTCAGCATCACTATTTTATTGTTGAATAACTGAGGCCAAAAGAGGTTTAAATAATCGCAAATGCAATAATACCTCGCTTTTCAAGCTTGAACCAAATGAAATTGCTGAATATGAAGCATTTCTCACAAACACAGTGTTTCATATAATTCCCCCTAGTAGATATGGACCAGGTCTGATTCAAAGCCTGTGTAATATTTTCTACACTGTACAGCTTCTTTTATACCAAAATGAGGTGAAATTTTCTAATAGAGACACTGTCCATGTAACATTAAAACTACTAGTTGAATTAAGGCACGTTGGTAAGAGGTTAGCTAATTTGGAGTGTCTAACAGGACTGAGTTCAAATTCTGGCTCTGCTGCTTTACTAACTGGATGACCCTGAGCCTGGGCATCATTATTGAGAAAATGAAATAATGATACCCATGTGCAGGGTTGCTATGACAGCCAATTGAAACAAGGTACTTAATTTCGATTACTGGTAATAATAGAGGTCATCAAAGCATAAAAATAGACTTAGAATTTGCTCTCTTAAAATTGTGACATTATTTAAACTTGGGACATAATTTAAATTTTGAAATGCATGAAATCATATAATGGGTGGTCTGGTGGTCAAAGCTCTGGTTGCTGGCCTGGGGGTCTGACCCTTGTGCTGATGGGGAAAACATCTATGCTGTGTGCCTAGTATTGCGTGGACCCTGTGGGGAGGGAAAGAGAGCAAAAGGGATATTCTGGCTTCAAGCTTATGGCTATGTTGTGAGAAAATACCTATGGGAAGAAAATGCAAGAGAGTGGAAATTGGAGCTTCTGAACTCAGGGCAAGGCCAGGGCTGGCATGGGTGAGTAGAGAGGTTTTCATACTTAATTCAGCAAATATGCATTTCTGCCCCGGGGTGCCATGTACTGTGGCAGGCAGAGAGGAAAGCAGATTAAGCAAATGCAGGAATGAGAGTGGCCTTTGTAGTAAAAAGATAGAGTGAGCAGCCTGTGGAATAGCAGAATGTATTCTGTGGTTATGGAGTCGTGGTTATGCTAAGGGGATGACTACTATTACTCCTGGTTCTCGCGAGACTAATCGCTGGGGGCTTATTATAATGCAATGTACCAGGCGCTGTTCTAAGCATGTGGTATGAATTACACAGTTAAGTCTCACAGTAACGCTAGAGGTAAGCACCTTATTATCCACACTTTACAGATGAGGAAATAGAGGCACAAAAAGATTATACCACTATCACATAGCAGGCACATCCTGGAACTGGGATGAAGAGCAGAAGGTAATTTATGCTTTATCCGAGATTCAATAAGATGCCTCATGATTTTCAGCAGACAAATGCCATGGTGAAGGAAGATGAATCTGGTTATGGCACAGAGGTTGTTGAACTCAGCAGGAGGAGAATGCTGGCCAGGAAGGGTTGTTAGTCAAGTTTTAGATCTGATTGCTGAGAAGGTTTTGCAGAGCCGGAAAGGAAAGTGAGCTGGAATAAAAAGGAGAGCCCATTTTAAAGAGGAGAGGGATGTAAATTAGAGAATTCTGGAAAGATGTGTGATTATAGATCCCCATTTCAAGTCTTTTTTGGAAAACAAATATAATTTTTTCATTACTGACATTTCCCAACTGGCTTGCCTCTGATGATAAGACAAGAGAATCAAATTTTATTAGTGTAAATTGATGGAAAAGATTTGGATTCCCATATATTAGACTTATTAGTGACTTAGTCACTAATCATGCCTTTCTTGTTGAGGTTTTCTTTTTTCCTTCTCTTTAAAGGCAGCCCATTGTCTGCACTATTTCAAAATGTGCTAGCAATTCAGGTTAAAATGTGACGATTCACATACTCAGATTCGTTTGTAACTGAGGGAAGGTGGCTTTATCTAGAGATTCTCTTAGAGAAAACTAGAAGAGACATTTTATGTGTGGCAACTCCCTCCCTCTACCCCATGGTAGGTTTTAGCCCTTTTACCCATTTCTAGAGTCCCAGGAACCTGCTATCATCTCCCTCCTGAGTTATCCCTGCGTCCAAAATGATAGTTCACACTCTGAAGTTCTGCAATCCCATCCCGCTAACTGGTGTCCTTCCCCTTTGTCCCATTTCCTCCCCAGACCCCAGCTCAGTTAATAAGAGAGTATGTGCAAATGTGTTCCTAGGTCACCCTTCCCAAGTAAGATGCATTTTAACTGGAAACATGGAGACAGTAGCTTGCTGCAGTTGAATGGATCTAATGGTGGCCGTTTTAGACATGAGGCATATTTAGAGCAGAACATGTACCACGTCTTAGCTTCATTCGTTGTAGAAGTTTACAGGTAATATGTAAATTCCCTGATGCATCTTAAGCTGAGGGGAAAATCTTTCAAACCAAATAAAATCAAAGCACAGTTTTTTGGATTTTCAGTAGCAGAGTGCATGAGTGATAACATACCTCAGGGCTAAGTATTTATTTCCCAAGGCTCTCTTCAACTCAGCTTTTCTTTGTTTAAAACACAGCAAGTGTGTTTGTTTTATGGAATTTTTTTTTCTTACAGTTGGAGAAGGAACCTGAGCAAATGAGATTCGTAGAAGACAATCTGCTGTACTGGTGAAAACATACCAGATGACACTCAATTGTGGTTCTGTTCTCATTGAAAACGTGGACCATGTGAAGAAAACCCTTGGATTCTTTTGACTTTATTTGTAACACTAGGACCAGGCCCAGCTCATTTTATTGTTTCAGAAGCAAAAGTAGTGTAGAGGGTTCTTAGCTGAGAACATCATTGCCTTTGGTCCTTGCTTCAGATCTATTTGGATTACCTTGTGTCTTACTGCCAAACCTTTTAGAGCATTTATAATTATAAGCCTGAAGCCTGTTGGAGCATTTTTCTTTTCTGTTACAAGTATCCATCTTGATCTAATAATTCTTAGTTGTCTGCTTGGTCTTGTCACTCAGCAGTGAATCTCATTTCCTTTTTTCCCCTTTGCCCATCTCCATGGAGGGTGGGCGGGGGAAGCATGGCAGGTTGGGGAGCAGAGTGTGGTTCCTTTAGTAGTTGATCCAGGAGAGGGAAGTTGTTGGGACGGGAAACAGGAAGGAATGATGACAGGGAAGAAGCCCTGTGATAAGAACATTTTAGTGTGGTTGCTGAAAGGGGACAATCGATTGGTGAGGCTGGTGGAAGGTTCCACAGCGGAGAGCTCTCCCCTGTGCTCTTCGGGCATCTCCCTAAAGTGAGTTTACAAACAGGGATCTAAAAGTTACTGGGAAATAAGGAGATGGAAACACATTGCACTCCTGTGTATATTGTCCAAAAGGTACAAACTAGTTTTTCAGAGGTAACCCATTGTTCATGGCTAAATAGATGCAGACTCTGCTAACTCTGACTAGAGCTCTAGGCTTTATTTGACGCTGAAACATTACATAAGGCACCTTGATAATGTTAAGTGCACGATAATATCCCTAATGTGCTCCTTTTCAAAGTCAATTTGGTTCAATTCAAAACTATCTGAAAAAAAAAATGCACACACACCCTTACAGCAAGCATACATAACATATTTATGTAACATTACAATATAACCATCATGTTAATTATTTTTGGCCTAATTAACTGAGTCGCTGATAAATGTCATAGGTGGAAGGTATTGTTACTTCTCAGTGTCATCAGTATTGAGCCATTATTTAGTAGTAGCTAAAGAATATCTATGTGGATGTCTTTGTAACTTGTTATTTTATTTTCATTGTGTTAAGTAGTGAAAACCCTGCTTATAAGATTTTGCCTGTGTCTTGTCTCATAATTGAATAATGAAACTATATTCAAGTTAATGTAACATTGATCTCCATTGGAAAAATAATATGCTAGCATTAAAAAAATCTATGGGGTACCTGTCATTGGTTATGATTTGATTTTAAAGTAGATTTTTCTAGACAGCACATTTGTGCACTTTATTGAGAATTCTTTTATTCATCTGACATAGACTTGTTCATATTGGCTATTTAAACATTGTGCCTATTCCAAAAACACATTTCAACTCTGTCATACGGAATGATCCTTCCCACAGCTATCTAGAACAACGTCCAGTATTTCACACTAAAACAAGAGTTTCAAAACCTTCTAAATGACCGATACCTGTTAAAATATCAGCCCCAAGCAGTACAGGTACTTGAAGTCCTTGGATGTTCTCCTGCCCAACCGATCTGCTGATTTCACGGTAGTCACGTAAAGGCCCCTATGCCCAGTCTGCTATAACTTTTTATCTCAGGGTGTCTTTGCAACTCTCTTGAGTTCTTTTTCAAAACTGAAATGAACATGTCAGAAGTGATCAGAAATGTTCACATTGTATGGCTTGTCTTTTAAAATTGGGATATATCTGTCTCCAGTGGATATCCATGTGCCAGAATACCCCTCCCTCCAGGCTGGACTTGCAGCCACAGTCTCAGTTGTCCTCACGCCCTTTGCCTGGGTCGCCTATGTTCCCTGGGGCTGTCTAGCCTCTGGTGTGGGCTGTCATTTCCTTCCTTTCACTGGGTTTCCCCCAGTGCATGTCTCCCCTTCCTCCCACACCCACTGTGATCCTGAGAGAGGAGAGAAGGAGAATAGACCCTGGCGTGTTAGAATCAGCCCCCAGCTAGCCTTTCTCTGCCTGGCTATGAGAAATAAAAAGCCTATATGCTATCTCCCTTGAGTTACATGACTTTACTTTGGCTTCAGGCAAAAGGGAGGTTGGGAATGTAACTTGTTGGCCTCCTCCTACTGGATGTAATTCCTTTAGTAAGGATTCATTTCTGTTATGGTCTGATCCCTATAACCACCATGTGGAGCTGGCAATTGTATCCCGCACAAAACCTCACAGGAATTCAGGTTCATCTTATGAAGCATCCTTGAACCTTCCCAAATACACTGGACCATCCCTCTTCTGAGGGTTGTGCTCTGGTAAACTATTTGCATAGCATTTGTAACATTTTGTATTGTCACCTGAAAATGTAAAACCCACTCTGTTCACCTTCTTACCAGGGAAGGGAAGGTGGTACAATGCATTCAAAAAAAGTGTGTGTCAGCTGGTCAGACCCATAAAAACTATTCATCTAACTGTCCTACTTGTTGCTTCTCACTGGGCTTGGTCAGTCTTGGGGAAAAAACAAAGAAATGACTGGGGCCAGGGGATGGAGTCAAGTGGCCACAGCTTCTGAATAGCGGACCCAGCGCAGGGCAGAAACTCCGGCTCCTACACATGCCACTCAAAACCAGGTGTCTGCAAGCCAGTTAACTTCTCTGTGTCCTATCATTTGAACACATTTCTAATCAGAGAAGTCTTCTTTCATTACAAAAAAACAACTAGCACTTGAATTTAAAGTTTTATATTAAGAGGGTCTTTTGCTGAATAGCTCAAGCTTTCCATCACCATGAACCAACCCGTTAACAGTCATGGGTATCATTTGAACACGCACATTGTGCTGCTTTACTCAGAATACATTTTCAGGGTTGTTGTTAACAGTAAAACCGCTTTTATCATGTGACCTTTCTGCTACATCAGCAAATGAGAATTTGTACTAGAATACAAATCCACCTCATAGTTTTACTGATCTCCTAGGCTGAGGTTTCCAAACTTCTCTGCAGATGTTAGGTTAATTGTCATCCACAGGGCATTTTTCTAGGATTAGGCTTAATTTATTTCACTGCTTCCTGAACCTCTAAATGACATGAATTTGTAATTGTCTTCCATTTTGGCCTGATTTGTTACTTGAATTCACCACTCACGTATTATTTTTGAACAATGGGGCAATAGGAAAGCTGGATTATACCTTTCCACTGGTCTTAAATTGTCTGACACACCTTTATTGTTACTCCGCGCTTGCTGCCATCAATCGGCCCAACATGGAGACTAAAACTTCTTCGAACCTCTATAGACCTAGGCCAACTGATAGGCCAACCAGGGTATTCACTGTGATCTAAATATAATACTCAGTTGTGACAAAACAAGAACGCTGTGGGTTTTTGTTCTGTTTTCTTTGCCAATTTAGATATAATTCTATTTAAAATATAAATATGTTTAACTACAATCACTCAATATCTCTAAGCACATCATGAATGTGTTGGAGATGCTGTCCTTTTTATAAAGTAAACTCATAATTTCTTTTTGCTAGAATGATAGTTTGAAATGTTTTCTTTCATAAGGCACTATTTCATAGCAGGAGCTTTACACAAGTTATCTTATTTAAATGTCTAAAAGAATCTTAAACAAGACATTACCAATAAAAGTTAAATTTTTCAATATTGCTATATTTATTCATTTGGATTGAATAATTCATCATCCTTGGAAGATCGGTCAAGTTTCCAAAAAGGTCTTTCCTTGTAAACAGTAGAAAGATTGTTACAGTCAGATGGTACAGTACAGAGGGTAACATCTTCTTATTCATTTGAAAAGTGACCTTGTAAATATGTTTGTATATTTACATTTAATATGTATCAAAATGTGATATAAGATAGCTACTTTCTTATGGATTTTAATTAGCTGCAAAGCTAGATACAAGTACATGGTTCTGACTAATGTGAACAATGAAAATAATCACTAGAGAGTGAGTTCTTTAAAATATATAAATGGTGCATATCCATGGCTAAGATCAGGATTCTTTAGGGGAAAATGGGAGACTTGTTTGGTAGGAACAGAAGCTGTATGAATATTAAACAAAGGATTATGATGATGAAAATTTAAAAATAAACACTTGTAAGTGAAAATTCTTGGTACATTAAGTAAATATTTTAAACACATTTCATTCTTTCTCTTATCCCTTAATTTACTGGGGGGAGGGGTGAAGGAGTTGGAGTAAATAACGTGGGATACATTGTAAATCACAAAACCGCCATTCACTGCACCTCCAGTTTTTAGGCAGGGGATAAATCCCACTATAATCCTTCAAAGAAGACATGAAATGTGTGGTGTTTTCATTCTTTAAGTAATCATTCTTACAGTGTTCTTACTAAATTAGACCTGTTTAACAGGTGTGGAATTTAGTTCTTATATTCCCCGTGCAGCTTTTTCTTCCCACGAGGAACATGACCCAGAGAAATTGGGGACTTGATATTTAGCCGATCCCGTTCAGCCTCCTCGTCCTCATCGTACCTCTCATCTCCGTCGCCATCCTCCCCGTCACTGCTCTGCGGACTGGAGAACTGAGACCCCGAAGGAGATGGCGGCACCGAGGAAGGCCTGGGGTACTTAAATCCTTCGGTCTGCCAAAGACAAAAATAAGTCACACACGTTGAAACAGATTCTTCTTGATGTTTGGAAGATGTAAACGCTTGGCATGTGCATTTAATACAAAAAAAAATTGTTGAATATTTTCTGAGATCTGTTCGGGAGTTTTTCACTTTGATTCATTTTGACTCTGGTACCACCAAGCCTAAGAGAGATTCATTAAACAAGTTGCTTTCTTTTATTAAGCACTAAATGTGCCAAGTGCTGTATGTACATATAGATATAGATCTTAATTTTATTTAATCTTTGTAACAACACTTCTGTGTAATTGTTCCTCCCATTTACAGAAGAAATGGAGGGACGGAGAGGCTGAATGATATGCCCAAGGTCATAGAGCATATAAGTAAGTGGTAGAGCAAAGATTTGTACCAAGATCTGTGGTCATTTGAGAGCCTTTAATACCAACGGCCACATTACACTGCCGCTATCGTCAGTCTCTGTCATGCTTCATATTTTTTCCATGAAGGTGAAGCCCGTGAGACCTACCACAGACCACCACCGTTTGAAAGAATCCTCAAAGCCAGGCCACTTCGTTGACCCTGAAATCCCACCACTTACTTTTAATTCAGTTAATGAGTAAATAGCAGTAGATTTTAATCAAATTGCCCTTCTACCTAAGATAGTAAAATAATTTGATTTGATAGACATGTACTAAGTCCCAGCCATGAGTCAGGCACCATAATGCCATTGAGGGAACAAAAATGAGAAACACGATCCTGGCCCTCTAGGGCTGCACCTGCTCCATAGGGAAGACAAAAGGATAAAATTGTTACAGCATTTGTCACTCTGTATTTCACATATTCTTATACATTATTATTATGTCACATATATAGTCATTGCAAAGTTCAGATGTTTTACCTGAAAGAGATATAAAAAAAGAGTCAAGTCCCGGCACTTAGGATTTGGGCCACAGTAGAAGCTCAATACTTATTAGCTGAGTAAGTTGTATAAACGGATAAATAAGGTACATTACCATCAAGCAGAATGATGACTCTAAATGAGCTAAGCAATTAACTCTGTTACAGTCATGAACATTTTCTAATGGACAAATTTTACCTTAGCCTAACTTTCCAGATCTGTTCCCTTGGACACCCGATACAGATAGAATATAAGGTGTGTTTTTAGGTACATTGTTTATAGTAAAGGTGACTACTGATTGGGAAATGACATCTTGAACTCAGAGGATCTACAAATACTTGACGAGCTCGTAGGAGTCCCTGAAGTTGATGACTCTTGTTGCACACATTCCTTGCCAGAGACCCTGGAAGCTTGTCTGTAGAGATTTACATGAGACATTGGCTCCTGTGGGGCATGCAAATACTAAGTTAAGATGGATCTCATAACCAATAGAATGGGTCTCATCTTTTTTGCATCTAAGCTTTCATTTGGTGGGTAGAAGGGCAAAGAAATTTAGCTCTGGGACCATTGTATAGATTGCCCTAAAAACTAAGCCTGTTGAAGAGAAATGCCGGATGCTGGCCTAGTTCAGGCTGTGTTTCCTATCTTATATCCTTCCTAGGCTAGTCTCATGAATATAAATGTCTAAGACAACTTTAGGAGAAGACTCCCTAGTGGGCACTGCCGAATGGAACACAAACACTCATCTAGTCCAGCTGTTCATGTGGTGCTTTTCATGCAGACACCCTATATCTTCATACATCCTTGGAGAGCAAATTCACTTCCTATTAGAGCAGGCTTTATTTTTCACCAATTCTCAGAAGAATGAATGTCTAACACAGTGAGGCGGTTTCAAGCACTAAGGCAGGGAGAGTTTTAAGAGGGAAGTGCTTCTCCGATGGCATGAATTAGCTGGCGGCTCATCCTATTCAGAAGGCTAACTGGACCAAGGGCTTTGAGCTGACCTGGTTTATTAGTCCCTCTATGCTTTGTTCTGATGCACTCTGAAAAGCTGTAAGAGCTTGTATACTTAGCTACTTTTAAATTAAGCCCTCAAACCAATACATAAAATACTTACTGTTGGCGGTGATGTAGGCTCCCTGTGGAATTTATCAGGAAAAGCTCTGCTTAATGTCAGGTACCTTGCATGCTGGTAATACTGTGGTGGAAAGCAATTCACAGGTTAAAAAAAAAGATTTCTATATCTCAATAACCAAGTTAGTATCTAAGTTCTTGGCCTTCTCATGATAAAATATATATTTTTTAAAGTGGTAGAATCTATTCATCCAAAGTTTATGAATCAGAAAAAAAAGACAGTTATAGTTTTATTATTTACCAATTGATAGGTAAAGGAATACTACAAAAAGTTGGAAGAAAAAGCTACAGTGGTCTCACTAAACTTGGCACGAAGTGCTAAGGTGGTTGAAAACACTGCTTTTGTTCTACAAAGAAGCAGTAGGCATAGCAAAAAGATGGGTCCTGAATAATCAAATGGGATTTAAATCCTGCTTCAGACCTTAGGTAAGAAACATAACTTCTAAGGTCCTTATCATTCTGCTTTCATTATAAAATGATGACAGTAAAATTAATCACCCAGGATGGTAATGAACTCTGGCATTGGCGTGTATAAATACTCAGGAAATGGGGCCTCCAGCATTTGTCAGGGAGCATTTAGCACTATTTAAAGCAGATACATTATGTGAAGGCAAAGTCGATTTATTTTTTATTAAATCATATTTAAGATGTTTGAACCTCTAGGTGTTTATAAACCTATTGCATGATTGAAAGGCGGTATTTCCTCTACTTGTCCTGTTGAAAAACAGTATTATTCCCACTCCCCACGGTACTTGAGGAATATGATCACAGTATCTCTTAGCATGAAACAAAACAGAGACTTTTCTCTTAATGTTTTCCTCATATGCATGAAACAATACCTAGGAGTTTTTCACTTTGATTCATTTTGACTCTGGTACCACCAAGCCTAAGAGAGATTCATTAAACAAGTTGCTTTCTTTTATTAAGCACTAAATGTGCCAAGTGCTGTATGTACATATAGATATAGATCTTAATTTTATTTAATCTTTGTAACAACACTTCTGTGTAATTGTTCCTCCCATTTACAGAAGAAATGGAGGGACGGAGAGGCTGAATGATATGCCCAAGGTCATAGAGCATATAAGTAAGTGGTAGAGCAAAGATTTGTACCAAGATCTGTGGTCATTTGAGAGCCTTTAATACCAACGGCCACATTACACTGCCGCTATCGTCAGTCTCTGTCATGCTTCATATTTTTTCCATGAAGGTGAAGCCCGTGAGACCTACCACAGACCACCACCGTTTGAAAGAATCCTCAAAGCCAGGCCACTTCGTTGACCCTGAAATCCCACCACTTACTTTTAATTCAGTTAATGAGTAAATAGCAGTAGATTTTAATCAAATTGCCCTTCTACCTAAGATAGTAAAATAATTTGATTTGATAGACATGTACTAAGTCCCAGCCATGAGTCAGGCACCATAATGCCATTGAGGGAACAAAAATGAGAAACACGATCCTGGCCCTCTAGGGCTGCACCTGCTCCATAGGGAAGACAAAAGGATAAAATTGTTACAGCATTTGTCACTCTGTATTTCACATATTCTTATACATTATTATTATGTCACATATATAGTCATTGCAAAGTTCAGATGTTTTACCTGAAAGAGATATAAAAAAAGAGTCAAGTCCCGGCACTTAGGATTTGGGCCACAGTAGAAGCTCAATACTTATTAGCTGAGTAAGTTGTATAAACGGATAAATAAGGTACATTACCATCAAGCAGAATGATGACTCTAAATGAGCTAAGCAATTAACTCTGTTACAGTCATGAACATTTTCTAATGGACAAATTTTACCTTAGCCTAACTTTCCAGATCTGTTCCCTTGGACACCCGATACAGATAGAATATAAGGTGTGTTTTTAGGTACATTGTTTATAGTAAAGGTGACTACTGATTGGGAAATGACATCTTGAACTCAGAGGATCTACAAATACTTGACGAGCTCGTAGGAGTCCCTGAAGTTGATGACTCTTGTTGCACACATTCCTTGCCAGAGACCCTGGAAGCTTGTCTGTAGAGATTTACATGAGACATTGGCTCCTGTGGGGCATGCAAATACTAAGTTAAGATGGATCTCATAACCAATAGAATGGGTCTCATCTTTTTTGCATCTAAGCTTTCATTTGGTGGGTAGAAGGGCAAAGAAATTTAGCTCTGGGACCATTGTATAGATTGCCCTAAAAACTAAGCCTGTTGAAGAGAAATGCCGGATGCTGGCCTAGTTCAGGCTGTGTTTCCTATCTTATATCCTTCCTAGGCTAGTCTCATGAATATAAATGTCTAAGACAACTTTAGGAGAAGACTCCCTAGTGGGCACTGCCGAATGGAACACAAACACTCATCTAGTCCAGCTGTTCATGTGGTGCTTTTCATGCAGACACCCTATATCTTCATACATCCTTGGAGAGCAAATTCACTTCCTATTAGAGCAGGCTTTATTTTTCACCAATTCTCAGAAGAATGAATGTCTAACACAGTGAGGCGGTTTCAAGCACTAAGGCAGGGAGAGTTTTAAGAGGGAAGTGCTTCTCCGATGGCATGAATTAGCTGGCGGCTCATCCTATTCAGAAGGCTAACTGGACCAAGGGCTTTGAGCTGACCTGGTTTATTAGTCCCTCTATGCTTTGTTCTGATGCACTCTGAAAAGCTGTAAGAGCTTGTCTACTTAGCTACTTTTAAATTAAGCCCTCAAACCAATACATAAAATACTTACTGTTGGCGGTGATGTAGGCTCCCTGTGGAATTTATCAGGAAAAGCTCTGCTTAATGTCAGGTACCTTGCATGCTGGTAATACTGTGGTGGAAAGCAATTCACAGGTTAAAAAAAAAGATTTCTATATCTCAATAACCAAGTTAGTATCTAAGTTCTTGGCCTTCTCATGATAAAATATATATTTTTTAAAGTGGTAGAATCTATTCATCCAAAGTTTATGAATCAGAAAAAAAAGACAGTTATAGTTTTATTATTTACCAATGGATAGGTAAAGGAATACTACAAAAAGTTGGAAGAAAAAGCTACACTGGTCTCACTAAACTTGGCACGAAGTGCTAAGGTGGTTGAAAACACTGCTTTTGTTCTACAAAGAAGCAGTAGGCATAGCAAAAAGATGGGTCCTGAATAATCAAATGGGATTTAAATCCTGCTTCAGACCTTGGGTAAGAAACATAACTTCTAAGGTCCTTATCATTCTGCTTTCATTATAAAATGATGACAGTAAAATTAATCACCCAGGATGGTAATGAACTCTGGCATTGGCGTGTATAAATACTCAGGAAATGGGGCCTCCAGCATTTGTCAGGGAGCATTTAGCACTATTTAAAGCAGATACATTATGTGAAGGCAAAGTCGATTTATTTTTTATTAAATCATATTTAAGATGTTTGAACCTCTAGGTGTTTATAAACCTATTGCATGATTGAAAGGCGGTATTTCCTCTACTTGTCCTGTTGAAAAACAGTATTATTCCCACTCCCCACGGTACTTGAGGAATATGATCACAGTATCTCTTAGCATGAAACAAAACAGAGACTTTTCTCTTAATGTTTTCCTCATATGCATGAAACAATACCTGGAATGCATCAAGTTAAGCATTTTGGCAATAGAATAAATGGCTAGTAAGGTCACTGCTGGATCCTGATGTTCTGGTCTCAGACTAAATATGAAGAATCGGGGTTAGGACTTTATAAACTCATATTAAGTGAAAAGGTACATTAAAATATCACTGAGATTTTAACAATCGTGATACCTAGTTGACCTTACAGATTATGACTAGAACCAATCCTTTTCTAGTCCAGTGGGATTTTTCGAGTGGTCCGCTTGATCACAAGCTTGCTTACTCTGCCTAAGTATCTCCAATCCAGAAGATCTGAGAGCCTCTCAGTTCGGTTCCTCTGAATTATTCTTTGGCGGCGCGACTGTTTACAAAATCCATAGAGAAACTGAGTCAGCTGGTTGCAAGAGTCGTCGGGAGAGCGAAAGCGCCGGTCGACAATGTAAATTCCTGAGGGGCACAAAAGCCAAAGGGCAGGTCACAGTAAGGTTAAGCTCTAGAGCGGTTCTTCCACTATTTCTTGGGTGCTATCCTAGACCACGTGCATTATCCACTCCCTTACCCCCTGTTGCCTTTGGGCCCACTCAAGGCTGTATTTCTTCTTTGATCTCCTAATGGTTTACAATTGTCACCAACACACAGCCAACAAAATCAATCTTGCTAAAAAATCTGGCAGATGCGGTTACCCTGAATCGGTGATTCTCCCTGGGGCGGCTCACTCACCCAAATCTCCCCGCAGACACCTGGGAATAAGGGCTTTTCAGGTTTCCCAGCGTTGCCGCCAGGCAGCCATGGCTGAGAACCACAGCCTGAGCCTGAAGAGAACAGTGACAATGCAAATGGGGAAGACCAGGGAAGTGGCGATGTGCAGGCAGAGAATCCATCCTATTCGGCTTTTCTTGCTGCTAGGCAACACGGGGATACAGAGGGCGACAGGCAAAGTCTTCTGCCATCTTTAACAATTTGAGTGAATTTTGCTAACCTGGCATGGCCCTTTAAAAAACAACAATGCTGACCAATAAACTACATACGCTAAGTTCATGGTTATTGTAATATTGCTTTTAGGTAGCAGAGAGCCAAACAGTTCACAAAAACAAGAGGTAAAAGGGCAAGACTTGTCCAACTTTAGCATGCCTTTTGTAGTTTGTTTTTTGGGCAATATATTTAATACTAATAGCATTTTTGTCTTTTCTATGGATTATGTCATTCAGTCTACTTTTAATTAAGAAGTATAAACATTAGTCTAATCATCAGGATAGCTTTAGGTGTGGGGGCTCTATAAAGACGTTGTGCTTTGTTAGGTTAGAGGTCACCTCTCCCTCCAGGTTTGGTGAATGATGGGAAGCCTCACCGTAAGCAGTAGGATCAGCCACGTGCTCCTGCATGAAACAGCCAAAGCCAGAGAGGTTGGTTGTCACACTGGGGATCCCCATCACAGTGCATTCAGCTGCCAGGGAAACAGAGAGAGGCTCAGCTTCAGACCAGCTCCTACACACTCGTAGGCACACAGAGGAGGAAAAAGCTAGAATCCACCCAGTAATAGGTGTGTCAATTTTGTACTAAGCCCTTTGTGTGTATTATTAACTCATTTAATCTCCTCAACAACCCTGTGAAGAGAGGCTATTATCATCCCCATTTTTACAGATGAAGAAACTGAGGCACAGAGAGGTTAAATAACTTGCCCAACTTCACAAAGTCAGGGGACATGGTAGAGTTGGGATTTGAAATCAGGCGTCCAGCTCCAGAGCTCTTGTTTGGAACAGCTAGTCTATACTAGCGCTCTCATTTCAGCCGGTTTTGGTTTTTGCTCCATCCTTAACTTGCGTCTGTAAGTATCTGGCAAGTTTATGAGGTGGGTAAATACGTTTTGGCCACGACCAGCTCTTCCCATCATCTTGATCTCCCTTGCTGCAAACCCCACTTCTGCAGATGCTCAGCAAAGCCACTGTCTCTGTTAGACTTCTCTCACCTTGTAGTTAAAACTTGCTTTGCATAAGATATTGGATATATCTTAAGAAACATTACCTCTGTCAAGGATGTCTGCATTTTAACAAGGATTTTAATTTGATCATGGAATTACTCTTGGTTGGCTAGTAAGGATGGGCGAAAACAAAAAGGATTCCCCCATTGCTTCTAAACAATGCAGACACTGGCCTTTTCTCCTGCTCTGCAACTATTTCCTTTTGGATTAGGTCTGGAGAGCTGTTGTTTCTGATTTTTGTTGGGGGGTTGGTGGTGAAGGAAAGGAAGGTGGGATGGGCATTATTGACCCAAATAAAAATCTGATATGAAAACTCAGAAAAATTCTCACACATATATGGATACAAAATTTTGCTTACAATTCCATGGACATTCACAGATCTTTATTTTTTATTAAATACTCAGTAACACATGTGGTGAAATGCCAGGTACCCATGTAAGCTCAGTAAATACTCACTGAATGAAATCTAACAGGCTAAATGCTTATACTCTTTGGGTTTTCTGATTACATAAAACACAGACTTAAATGAATACTTTCTGGAGTGAGATAAATAAACTGTATCACACAAAGAGATTATTTTTTTTTTTAAATCGTTATGTAAGAGGCTAACACCAAACTTAACCACCAGAGGTCTCATTATTTCTGTAACTATAGAATAGGTGAGGAGTGGCCAGCTTGCTTTGGTTAATTCAAAAAGAGAATGACTCACTCCCTACGGAGTATTTCTCAAATTCCTTTTTCTGTCTACTTATCTTTTATACCATTCCTGACCTTTATCTTAAAACACTACATATGTCTCTTCTGTCATTTCAAGTTAAGTTTAACTTTGTCTTATAAAACGACATTCCGGTAGAAAGGCTGCTATAAGCTATAGAACATTCTCTTTTATCCAACATAAATGACTTCCTATATTCCCTCAATAACTCAAGGTTTCTGTATCCTTGAAATTTCCTTGACAGTTACTAGAAATAACAAGAAAAGAGTCAATAGCAATGTGGTATGTTCATTAGTGAAATACATGGTTTCTGTATCTCAAAAGATCTATACTTGGTTATAGGCAATGTAAGATAATTAAGTGGGCATTTCATGAGAAGGCACCACCTTCAAAACAGGGAATCTGATGCCAATAATAATTTTCAAAACTACAGGAGAGATAACTGGAGGCATTACATCAACAACTTTTCTATATCATGTTTCAAGAATGGATAATCCTTTATGTATTCTTCCCCCCAAAATGTGATGTTTTTACAGCTGCTGGCAGTGGAACCTAAAGCAGTAGAGTAGAACCTTAGGTCAGAAGATGCAGAGCCTCATGTCACCCCTATTTGTAAAGATTATAAGATTCTATTCATACAGAATTTTTAATTCTACATTTAAATTCTGGGATCCGATTGCAAAGATTAGACAAGTTCTCCCTCTTCATCATTCAGCCTATGTATGACCTCCCTGACCCTGACTGTTGCTCTCCCCTACTTGGGCAATCATGACATTGAGGTCAGAAGGCAAACTTTATAAATTATAAGTAACAATGTTTTTGAGCTTTTTCTTTTAAAATTACAAATATAATTTTATCCAGACTATGAGGAAAACATCAAAGTATCAATAAAAGAGGGAAAAGTCATCATTATATTTTTTGCATGGGTATGGACTTGAAGTATTTGTTTCCTTTTCAATCAGACATTTCAGTACAAATACAAACTGATAGCTCTTGATGCTAATGGCCACCACGCTAGTGGGGACCAGAAGGGAACAGCAGACAGTGGATCTGAGAATCCACTATTGTTCAAAAAAAAGTGGGCGAGGTGGAGGGTCTGAATGGAACTATGACATTGGTCATCCTACCTACCACTGAATTGGCATTTTATTTTAAAAGTACCTCTTCAGAGGGACAAGGGTGTGAAGAACACTTTTTACTGTACACCTTTTCATACTATCTGTTTCTTTAACCCTGTGAATGTGTTATTTATTAAAAATTAAATACATCCATTAATCTTTTTAAAAAAATATTCTTCTGAATTAAGTTTTAAAGAACACTTTGTCTTGACTGTCATCCCTCATATTAAGCCTACTTGAAGCCATTTCTCCTTCAGAGTGGTGAATGGGACTGGTAGGGATAACTTAAACAATATGTAATTTTTATAAAAACATTGCCCAACCACCCCCTGGTATACTTCCACAATCTTTGTCCTTATTCTTAGGTCAGGATCTACAAAGCATAAAATTGACCCCTGGGGTTGATCCAACCAAAATCACTTTGAAAGCGAACTACAAAACCAGAACTTTAGTAGAAATTACATATTAATTTTGAATATGACACACGTGAATAAAATAATATACTGATAAAATTAACATTCTACAATCTACACCTGTCACATACCTGGAGTGTAACCCCACGGTTCATAGTAGGATGGAAAGACCCCAAGGTGACAGCCTCGGACAAACTCTTCATAATCCATGGGGAGTAAGGGGCTGGTGGAGGACAGGAACTCTGGGTGTAAAATCACCTAGAAAAGGAAAATTCTAATGAGAAAAGAGAAAAAGCAGACATTAAAGAGAAAATTTCTCTGCAGTGTGGTTTTTTCAATATTGCGGAGTCCTCACATTCCAGATTTAGGAGAAAAAAAAGAGAGAGAGATTAAAAGAAAAATTAAAAAGAATAAAAGCCTTCATTCTTTTTCCTCTCTTCATTCTGGGTAAATATCTATTCTGCAGACTAACTTTCTCTGTGATTCCAAGACCTAGACTGGGGGAAAGGGAATTAGTGTGCCCAATTTCATTCTCATGCTAACCTACGATCCTCCAATCCAGTCTTTATGGACAAGAAAGATCTCACTTGGCTCTCCAGCTGCTGACTCCTGTCTTCTCAATTTTTTGCACCTCAAGAAGGAAGGAGGGGAGTTGTTAATGAGCCACTTTCACATGCCACAGTCATGAATTAGTCACGTGAAATGGAACTAAGGGACAGGGAAGATGTCTAGGTATCTCTTCTAGATTAGGTCAGACTATACCTAGTCTAACCCTAATCTAACCTCACCCAAGCCACCCTCCTCTCTCACTTCTATAACCCTTCTATTCTTCTAAGGCTCTTCTCAACCCATCGACCAGAGTGAACCTTTAAAAATGCCATGCACTCTCCTGCTTAAAATCCTTCAGTGGTTCCCATTTTATTCAGAGTAAAAGCCAATGTGTTTACCACAGCCTATAAGCAGTGGAGTGCTAGTAAATGCTTAAGAACCAAAAAACCAAAGAGGAAACATATATTTGTACATAAGTTTACTACACATTTTGCTGATAATAAAGGACATATAGCATAAAATTTCTAAATAAAAAGTGTACACATGAAAATTTGTACACAAATATTTATATCAGCTTCATTCATAACTGCTTAAACTTGGAAGTAACCAAGATGTCCTTTAGTAGCTGAACAGATAAATAAGCAGTGGTATATCCAAAAAATGGAATATTACTCAGTGCTAAAAAGAAATGAGCCATTGAGCCATGAAAAGACATGGAGGAAACTTAAATGCATATTGCTAAATGAAAGAAGTCAATATGAAAAGGCCACACACTATATGATTCAAATGATATGATATTCTGGAAAAAAGCCAAACTATGGAGACAATAAAAAAGATTAGGGCTTGGAGGGGGTAGGATTGAATAGGCAGAGTACAGAAGATTTTTAGGATTTTTAATTTTAGTGAAAGTCTCCTGCATGATCCTATAATGGCTGATAATATGTCATGATACACTTACCAAAACCCACAAAACAGACAATACCAGGAGTGAACCCTTATGCAGACTCTTGGATCTTGAGTGATAATAATGTGTCAACGTAGGCTGATCAGTTCTAACAAATACACCACTATGGTGCCATGTTGATAGGGGGAGGCTATGGGTGTAGGAGGTACATGGGAATTCTGTACTTTCTGCTCAGTTTTGCTGAGAACCTGAAACTCTAATAGAGCTCCGGTCATCACCTGCCTGGCTGCATTAACCACTGTAGTCTGGCCCCAAGGCTGCCGCAGCTTCTCCAGCCAAAGACTGTAAAAATATCGCCTGAACTAATACTGGCCATTAGTATAAGCAGTACACATTCCCTAAAGCCCCTCATAAAGATTGGTCTTTTTCAAATTTTACATAATTTCAAATTTTATATAATCAAATGCTCAAAAATGCTTTTGTTGATTTTTCCCAAGACTGTGTATTTGTTACCAGCTCATGGCTTCAACTGATGACTGAAAGTGGTTCTGACAAAAATGTTGATGGATTCTTTTGCTAATGAGTAAAAGGATGTGAAATGCAGAGCTACATGCTTCATCACTGATATGAGTGACTTCTTTGCTGAGTTGAACCTTTGTTTTTGAACACTCTAAAAAGGTTTCCTCATATTGCTATGCCATTAACAATTTTGTGTAATGACCACAGACACAACACTTATAAGTTTAATCTACACCCCTTCTTTAAGTCTAAACTATCAATACACAATTAATCAAGCCATGCTGTGTGGTGTTCACATATTCTCACTCTATAAGTACTCCCACCATGGCCAATTTCAAGCTACCAACGTGATACGCAATAGCACATTGTTGCAGAATATTTCCACCATGTGGCTACAATACCCACAATAACTTCCAGAGCAAAGTTAATAGTAAAATGTAGTAAAGGATTAGGATACGATGGGGTTTGAGCATTACTGTTCTTTTTAATGTAACTGCTTTATTTTTAAGTTTGTATGATTTAGTTTTAAATAATGGCTATTTTTAAAATTGGTTCACAAAATTTCTGAGAAGTTGACAGTTGACCCTGTGTGATCAAGTTGCTGTTAAGTAACTTGTGTTGCTCCACCAAATGGCTTTAGAGCTGAATTGGTCAAGAAGAAGAGGAAAAGAATAAAAATGAGTGGATGAGGGAAAGGAAAAAGACTATTTTTTTTTAAACAAGGGCATTTCACTTTTGATTTTTTATTCATGGGGTAAGTAGATAGTGTTCCAAAAAGATACTTTGAAGAAAAACCCTTATTTGGATATGTAACAGTAATGATAACAGCTGTGTGATACTTTATTTATTATAAATAATGTTCACATGTATCACCTAATTTAATTTTAGCAATATGGTGAAATGGACAGAATAGAAATTCTCATTACCCTATTTAAATATAAGGGAACTAAGATTTTACAGGCATTAGTTACATCTCAGTAGATAAATATGAGATATGTGAAACTTAAGAAGAGATGAAGTGGTAATATGCCCAAAACCAGTTTGATGGTTTATTGAATCACAAATAGGAAAAGTAAAAATGGATAAAATATTTTCCTCTACAAAACATGAATTGATTTCCTATTATGTGCAAAGTGTAGTACTAGGAAAAGAGACAAAAGGCACAGATATGAACTGTGTCTGGGCAACCTTCAAGCGGGAAGCCCATTATACTCGCGGCAAATAGCAGCAAAGGGGATCCGAAAGCCATTATGCCTACTTTAGCATTTCCAAGCTTGGAAAATTTGTGCTCTCCAAAGCCCATTTTGGAACATGAAAACATCAGGGCCCATTCAATTTGTTCCCAGCCAAACAGAATGATAGCACAACTAAAATAAGAACACAGCTGTTCTGGGCCCTCCAACAGCCAATTGTAGAAACCCTGGGTGAAAGAAAGGACATTAGAGGTCATGCCAAGGTTACAGAGAGGATTAAATAAAATCCTGTATACAAACACTTCCAGCAGAGCACCTGGCTCACAGCAGGCTCTGAATCAGTAGGGAAAAAGACAAATAAAAAACAAAAACTTGTCTAATTGTATTTATCCCAGGAGAGAAGTTAATTTACTTTTGCAGAGTTGCAGCACAGGGTCAAAACCTGAAATCTTTACCGTAGACTTTTCTCACTATACCATGCTTGCAGAGGAAGGTTCGGTGATGAATTCAAATTCCAAATGATCTACAACATTTACTGAATCAAATAGTCATATGCCTACAGACAACTTGTATCTCCACTCTGAGAGTTAAGAACAATTCTATAGATTTCTATAAGTATGCATGTGATCAAACAGGTCCTTATATTAGAACAGTTCTGAGTTAGTGTCAAACTTTTAAAGATACTGTTAATAAAATAAAATGCCTAATTCTGAATTGACCAAAGTTTATCTCAGTGCTTTGAGTGTCCATTGTTAGGAAGGGGCTATTTCTTTTATTTCTTTTGTGTCTATTTGTTTTATAATCATCAATGAATATCTCAAGGTATTCGTGAGCTTAACTGCAGAAGCATAATTTCTATGAGACAAACTTCTCCATTCACTTCACATAAGTCACGTGCTTTTATATCTGCATCTTTTTATCTGCTTCTTCTGCCTGGTAACCCCTCCCTCCTGTTATCTGTGCCATGAACTTATGCTGATCAATCCAGATCTTGCTAACATGTCATCTCTTTTATAAAACATTTTATCAAATGCTGTAGGCAAAGATAAGTCTTTCATCTTCTACTTCAAGCAAACTCTGTTCACACCTGTTTCCTAAAAGTTATTGAGTATCCAATCATGTGCTATGTATCAGCATTTATTATGCATTTACAATGTGCCGGGTACTATGCTACATAGGGCATCTATTATTTCTTGAGTCCTCACAAAAATTCTGTGAGTGGGAGACTGTTTTATCACCATTTTATAGATAAAATGACTGAGGTACAGGTAGATTAAGTAAATTGACAAATTGAGTAAGTGCCAGAGATTTTAATAGAGAAGGGGATCTTGACAGACAGCCCCACTGTGTCCCCTCTGGCAGCGCTTCCTGGCCTATAGGACTGGCAGAGATGGATATGAGTGCCAGCCCATTCTGCCCAACCAGTGATTCTTTTAATGGGCAACTTTTGTTTGGAGAATTCCTACCCCTGTAGTGCAATTGCTCATAGAATAAGGTGCCCATCTGTCTACCGACCTGAAGGTGTTTAGTAGGTGGAAGAAAAGTGAAGGTAAAACATAAAAAAAAGTTTTTGTAAAATACAGGAAAATGTTTGTAGTGTCACTAATATATTTAAAATAAGTCAACAGTAAACCACAACACACACACACACACACAAATGGGCTTTTTTTTTCTTGTATTAAGAAAGGAAGCATTGTTTTAACATCTTTCCATGTTGACAGATAGTAACACACTAGAGGGGGTGAGGATTTAATAATATGAGTAACTGTTAAACCACTGGGTTGTACATCTGAAACCAACATAAGATTGTATATCAACGATACTTCAGTAAGAAAAGAAAGAAAGGAAGCATTGTAAAATCATCCTTAATTTCTGTTACCTGTTGATGAAATGTACTAGTGAAAACTTTTGTTGTTGTTCTTTGTTTTTTGTGGACCCAGGATCCCGTGCACACGTGGGAGTGGGTTTCCTTCCCTTAACTGACAAGCCACATCGAGAGGGCTTGGACCACTGCTTTTCCCCTTCATGAGTCACTACATAGTGCTGCTTTGTGTGTATATTTTTCATATATTTGTTAATTTCTATTAATTCTAGTATTCTGTATTATATTTGACTTTCTGTTAAAAAAAAAAAGGAAAGGCTGAGATGTTTTGGGAACTGGGCTGCACCTGTGGGTCTTCCTAAACACCCTCTCTCCCCCCTGCCTCCCCAATGTCTGGCTACTCCGCCCTGCAGTCTGCCAGCATGGCAGGATCATTACTGCCTGTTCTCCACTCCCACCCAGGCACTGACGACTCCCTTCACGATCGCCCTTGCAAACCCCAGAACTATGTATTCTAAATGCCAATTACACATCTCCATTGAAATGTCTCACATGTAGTTCAAACTCAGTCTCTCAAAATCTGAGCTCAATTTATGACATACTGTCAAACCCACTTTTGCTAAAGGGTTTTCTGAGTTTTTAGAAAGTATTGATTAAATATTGAAGCCAGGGGGCTATTATCCTTGCCTTCTTCCTCTTTCTCACTGCCAAGTTCATTGGTCACTAAGTATGATGTTTCCTACACGCACGCATCTCTCCTGTTCTCTCCAGCACTGAGCTGGCCTTTGTAAGGACCCTCACCATCTGTTGCCATCCCCTTATAACTCCATACATCAAGGAATGACATAAGATGAGAAATGAATTTAAAAGTAGACTGTATTTTCTGGGTCAAGAGATTAAGGGTAATCTTTACCTTCTTGTACATATACTTATTTTGCCTTCTTGTATATATTTTAGATTTCCTGTAGCGACTATGCTATTTATGTGATCTAAAGGAAAAATCTTAATTAAAAAGTTACAGACAAAAAAAATAGACTGTATTTTCTCCAAGAAACTTTTGCAGAGAAGAGCAGGAAAGACGGAAACATTTCAAAACATCATGAGGAGACAGGGTGAAGGCAACATTTGCAAGTTTTTTTTTAATGGGGAGAAATTTAATATTCATAGACAGCAAGGGAAGGAGCTAGTAAACAGACAACATAAGAGGTTAAATGGGGCAAGTTTCCTAACGATGTGGAAGGAATGGGAACCCAAAACAACCCTTAGACCCTGAAGGAGAAGAAGAATAGGTCAGAATCTATGTTTGAGGCCAGTATGGAGGGACATTTAAGGAGGTTACAAGTCACTGAATTCTCAGGTCATCTTCTAGAGGGGAAAGAAAAAAGGGAAAGTGGGACCACTGGAAAGATTAGTAAAAGTGTATGACAACTTGATCTTGAAGATGGTGAATGCAATTGAGTAGAAATAAACAATGGTCTGTTTACATGGCCACCATTGTCTCCCACACCTACCACCATGCCTGGAACATAATAGGCCCTCAGTAAACCTCATGGAGACTAAATTCCACTGTGGCAGACACTTCATATTCTTAAAACTAATACTGTGCTTAGTCATTGTAGAAAATCACAAGACCAAAGAATGAATTGGTCTATTGAAAATTACATTAAAGCATCATCAGCCTCCTTCTCTGGAACTGAGAACTAGAAGCTTGTTTTATGATCCCCTTAAGTTAAATGTCAAGAAGAAACAAAAACAATTCATGTTAATCTCAGAGATTCACTAATTAAAGTAATTCCTATGGTATATTTGTATCATTAAAAATTAGGCAATTTCTTTATGCTTAATGACAGTATTATACAATGACAATACATGCTAGAATTATAATGCAAAGTCATAAATATTCTTCAGTTTTCTAGAGTGGTATTAAAATGATCATTACACTTTAATTACCCAAGGCGGCAAACAGAATTTTCTTTAGAAATATTATTTGAAATATTTCTGGTAGATGTTAAAACAAATAAGGGAGGCTTCTCATAAATTCTCAAAAAAATATTCTGTATCATTTTGATGTGCGCTATCTAAACAGTTCTACCTTGACTCTGTCTGTGCGGCTGTTGAAAAGTCCAATCCGTCTAATGGTGCTGAGGATGGGGTCAGTGGAGTCATCAATCATGTTGTGAGTGGTCACTGGAGGCAAAGACTGTCGCTGGAGTCACAGAGGGAAGAAAATGTCAATTGTGGAGAAAATTAATAAATGTGACTAATTTCAACAATAGGTCATCGGCAACATGTCATCCAACTTTTATGCCTTGAGTCTTTTGAGACGACACTAATGACAATGACTAAGTTTGTGTGTGTTTCAGAGGAGGCTAATGGGTGCAGAACATCCTTCAGACATTATGAATACATGATGCTTTTGTTTTTCACCTGCAGCCACTATAGGAAAGGCCTACACTTCTCAACTGCCTTGGGACATATTTGGAATAAAGGTGTCCTGAAATCTTGACTCAAAATAAACTACTCTGGACCCTGAGGTCCAGGAGCAAGGTTGTCCTTGGGTGCTGTCTGATGCTTCACTGGTACAAGATTTCCATGTATGCCTAACACACTTACCTTATTTTTTTGCAGTAAGTCCACGTGACTGAAAAATGTTCACCTATTCTCTATCATGACTCAAAACTCTATGCTATTTGAAAATCTTAGAGGTTTGTTTTGTTGTCTTTACAATATACATAGTTTTCCAATTGGATATGTAGGTTCCAAGTGAATTTTTTAATGGATGCAAAGCTAAGTTACATAAAATTTTTTAAAGGATCCCTGAAAACCACTTATAAAGGAGGACATACAATGTTGTCATTTGAGTGAATACGTAAGAATGACTTTTCCAGCTCTCAGTTTTAAACATTTCCCAAGCTGGCCCATTCCAAATTAAAACATTGGTCTAAATTAACCTTAACAATTAAGAGAAGTGGTGGGCACTTTTTTGTTACCTGAGTTGAAAAGATGGCTCTTTTCATAATTGTTTGATCATCTCGATCCAAAATATTGTTCATGTCAGGAATTTCTCCTCTGTAGGGAAAACGTTATAAATAATAAAAATAAAAACAACTGGCACTAATTTAGGGCTTCCTACATGGCCAACACGTTCCACACACTTCAGAAATAAATATAAACCAAACGGTTTCCTGATGAAGCTAACAGACAAATTCCTAAAGTGTGAAGAAGTTTGACCATAGAAAACATTCAATAGCATAAAAGAAAATTGAAATTTGTTTTTAAAGCATTAATGTTGACCATCAGCCCTCATTATATTTTGCCTATTCTTGAGTACTATGTTCTGAAGTGGCCATAATTTGTCCGTGACGCACACCTGTCTCCAGTGGGCAGGAGACAACACAGCTTTATCTTCATATCATAACAAAATCCACACACATTTTTTATATATTACTATTTTGTAATACTTTTTAATTTGATTTATTTATATTTTATTTTACTTATCAATTTATGTATTTCATTTATTTTAATATTTGATTAAGTAAATAATGTTTATTTGATAGGTTGATTAACAAGATTTACTATTAATAAATATGTGTTAGCTTAATATGTAAGTAAATATGTAGTCAATATATGTCTTGACTTAAAAATCTCATGAAATTTCTCTCAGCTTCAGATTGATGTGTTAACCCTTAAAGAGATTCCCATTGAATTAGAACTAATTTCCATACAAAAATGTGCAACCTGTTCACATGATTCAGTACATATCCAAAGTCTATTAATTCCTCTATATTTGGAACAAAATAAAACACAGTGTAGAGTCTAAACTGTTGTTTGAATAATGAGGTCTAAATGTTTGCAGCATTAAGTATTCCCAGCACTTACCTTAATAATGCATCATAGAGTTTCTTTCCAAACTTTTCCTTCACAGAATGGGCAATGTCCCTGTATGAATTGAAAGATTTATAGTTTAAGCAGTGTCACAAATTTAAATCTTCATTTGCCATGACAATGTGTTGTTTTGTCAGTGTACTCTTTGAAATGACAGGTCTTGTGTGTGGCCTCTTTGATTGTTTTCCAATTTGCCAATTTACCTTGAATTAGAGCCTCCAGGCCTGCGGCAGCACAGCACACTGACCAGACCACAGAGCTTAACACTGTTCTGCTTGATGCCACTCAGGGGAGGGTGGCAGGCAGGGAGGGGGAGTGGAAGGAGGTACACATGTAATAAGATGGAGTATTCGCTGATAATTTTTGAATCTGGGCATTGGCAGGTAAGCATATGCTTTCCCTTTGGCACATGTTTTTAAATTTCCACAGACAAAAATTTTTTTAAATTCAACCCCTCTAAAGATTTCTACAGAGGTTTTAGCCTGCCATAGTAGCTTATTCCAAAGTATTTTCTAGCAAGACAGTTTTATAAGCATTACGTAATCCAACATAGGAGCCCAATGAGAAAAGAACCACACAGAATTTATGCTTTAAAATCTTAAGGGAAAGAAAAAATCAGCTAAAGGAGATATACCAGATATATTTCATACATGTGAAAAAAAAATCCCTTTACCCTATTGCTTGAAAATAAACAAGAGATGAGATTACCATAGCTGTTTTCGCACTGCCTGGCCTTTGAGGGTTTCCACATTGAAATTATTTGTCTTGGCAGGCATAATGAAAAACACTACCACTGTGACGTCACTCTTATGCATCTAAGGAGGAATTAGAAAACACAGCAGTCACTATGGAAGGTAAAATAAAACATGCAACAGATGGACCTTAACCTTGAAAAAATAGTGTTTTAAAATATCTTTGGTTAAAAAAAGAATACTTAGTTATAATCACAGAGAAATTATACCCACTTTCCTGAGGCTTCTACAGAAAGTCAAGGGTAACTTTGGCTTTTAATTGAGATTTGTCAATTAATGATTTGAGAATTATTACATAAAATATTTTTACGGCCTCAGTCCTCTAAAACATAACAATTGCTATTGATATCACTGTGCTTTCCAGTGGTTAAAAAGTAATATAAATGTGAGCTAATATCACAAGACCAAAATTAGTTCTTTAAATTTCAGATTGGAAAGTTAATGAGGATTTAGTTTGGACTCATTCTTGTTTGTTGTTGTTTTTTTTTTCTAGTTTATTCTCATTGATTGGCACAAGTAGATGATTTATATTATTTAAATGTCTTGACTCTTGTGATGTTGCATTTTGAGGTTTTAGCCTTAAATTAAAATTAAAGGAACAAGCATGCATTCAGCCCTTTTGGTATAGCAGACACTCTGCTGTGTATTTTAAATGCATAATTTAAGCCAATCCTCATAATAACCCTGCACAATACATACAACTCTGCTTATCACACTAATGTTGAAAGAGAGGCATGAGAGGTTCAATATTTTGTCTGAGCTCCTATAACAGGCTGTTGGCAAAACTGGGATTCAAACTGGTGTTTTTTTGACTCTACAATCTGTGTTTTCTTTTCCTCCTTTCACAAATACCATTGGCCTAGCATTTCTCAAGGAAATGACATATCAAACAACTATGCGAATGAAAGCATGAACTCAATTAAAACCGTGAACATATGAATGCTCATGTGTTCTGGAAATGACTATCTCCTGAGTGTGACCACTTCTGCACATAATCTGTGGCCCCTGTGCTCTGGGGCCTGACATTCTATTCAAAAAATCCTAGAAGCCATAGAATAGGAAAGGTACTCCAGGACTAGCCAATGATATGTCAAAGAATAAATGTTCTGTATGGAAAGAGAATGAATGCCTCCTTTTAATTTCTCCAAGTATTATAATTATCTTTGATGTCTTGAATACTAGGAGGGGCTTTTTTTTCACATATAAAAGTAAAGTGATTATTTAACAAATGTATGGATAAATTGCTTAATAACATCCCCAAACATGACACATATTTGACATAGTTATGGGTCCATCTATAAAGCTGTTGCATACATAGTAGGAATTATTATGAAATAATCTTATTCTAGCTCATTCTAGAATCATCTTTCTGGTCTTCAGTCCTGTGTTACAGACTTGGGTTTTTTTGGTGTATTGCTTCCCTATGAATGTGGTTTCAGTAAACCTTTTGGTGTATTTAGTATAATGTCTGCTCTGAGGCAAGGATAAATCTACATCCAGAAATAAAAATTACACTGGAAAGTAATGCACAGTTTAGGAAAGCTTAGATTGTCTCAGTATCCCAGATTCCAATTCTACACTGGTCTCCTATATTTTACTGTTATTTATTCTATATTTTCATGTGAAAGGATTAGAGTATCAGCTAATAACTTTAATCACTAGCTCTGTCGTGGCACCATTTTCTGTGGTTGCTTCTGCTGGCACAGGTTTTATTGCTGGATTAGCTGGGCATTTATTTTAAGTCTCACCTTCTTGGGCAAAAAATGATGCCACATTATTGCGAGTGAGAACCTCCTTTCCCTTCCTTCATGTTTCTGTGTGCTGGGATATCTCCAAATTTTAGAGTATGAGACTCTCAGTCTTAAGGAGAAGATGTGGCTGGAGAATCAGGAGAGGTGTAAAGTTTGAGGGTATCTGCCCCAGTTTATGGAGGGTACCTGCTTGGATGTCAGCCTTGTGGTACCTGTTCCTCGGAAGGCCTGCTTCAGTTCGGGGAGGATGGGCATGACCAGAGCTGCTGTGGTGAGGTTACTAAGTCAACACCAAAGTTCAGTATTAGGAAGGCTATGGGTGCCTCACACCCATGCCACGTCTTCCATTACAGTCTTTGTTGTTCACCATTTGCTTGATTTCTCTCTACGTATCTTCAGTTGTTTGCAAACTCTCAGCATGGGGTGAGAAATATTATAATGTCATCTTAAAACATAGCACATATAATGTGATAAGCCTGTGGCTGTCTTAAAAAAAAAAACCTGATAGTAGTTTAGCATGAAGAATATAATCAATGACTCTGTAACATCTTCCTATGTTGACAATAACTGCACTAGGGTGGATGAGGATTTAATAATATGGGGAACTGTTGAACCCCTGTATTGTATACTTGAAACCAGTATAAGATTGTATACCAATGATACTTAAACTAAAAAAAAAAACTTTCCCCAGCGGGGTAGAGGAATAACCTGACAAGATGTCAGATTACACAAATGAACAACGTGGCATTCCCAGTAAGTAAACTGAAAGACAGAAGCCATTTTTAGAGTAGAGTTGTCACTTTAAATCTTCAAAATCATACACTCTCAACATTCTTTAAGAAGCCAGAAAGTTATTTGCTTCTCACCAAAGAAAGTTCTAGGAAGACACTGCATGGCGTTCTGGAGCATGCTTACCCTCAGCAGGAAATTTAGCCTGGATAAGGATTCTAGGAAGATGTCAGCTCCTTTGTTTGAAAATTCATACCTCCCAGCAATGAAAAGGAACAAAGTCTTTTCAAGATCAAAGTCCAAGTGACTAAAACAAAACAGAATATTTCACATTAAGTAAAGCAACAGCCACAAAATGTACACACAAATCCTGTTAAAGTACAAAGAGGTCTGGGAAAGATAAACATTTACTGTAACAATCCTGCTTTCTCTAACTATAGATCCCTAAAATCACACGCTAAGTTTTTTTTTAAATAAAGACAAGCATACCCATAGAAATGACCTCGGACAAAATCTTGAACCCTGGCCTTGTACATGGCATGTAGATTTTGAAATTCATGTACTGCTGAAAATTTCTTAACATTCAAGCCATTTGGAGTAATCACATCTAGAAAAGCAAAAAACAAAATCATTAAGGAAATTGTCTTTTGAGAGAGAGAGTACCACTGTAGAAACACAGTGTCTTTAAATCTGTAAAGGTCCATCAACAATTCTAGTTTCTGAATGTCATAGAACTGAAAATTCATAAAACCTCACAATAAATTGTTGAAATAGGAAATCAGGGAGTATGTGACTTAAGTAACATTGAGTGATAGGTAAAATGAAACAGTGTAATTGAAAGTAATGGTAATTCTTAGAGTTTTTATTGATTGATTGCTTCCTATTTACAGGGCAGTGATCTGAACATCTTAACAATGTAACCATTTAATCCTTGCAACAACCAAGGGCGTGCGTGCTGTTAAGTGCATATCAGAGGCATGACGCTGAGGCGCGGAGCTGTTAAGGAATCTGTCCAAGGACCTAAGGGTCAGTAGGACTTGAGTCCACGCAGCTTCCCTCTACATGATGTGTCCTTAACTGTGTTGTGCTCTAAAGTACCTCTTGTCATCTTATTTTAACCAAGTGAATGGGAAGTGTTCTGTGCGTTTGTAAAACTGGAAGGCAGCCCTTTATTTCTAATGTCCAGAAGATTTTTGTTGCTCAGGCAGAAAGATGATTTTTGCTTTCCCAGAACATTAGTTTGTGACAAGACTGTGACTCCTGAGTACAAGATGGGAAGTAACTACTGAATTGAATGCATGGGTTATTGCATTACAAAGGTAATTAAAAAAAAAGAGGCTATGTCAAAAAACTTAGCACATGGCAATGGAGATTTGAGCTCAAATGATAAGCTCATCATCATTTTGAAGGCTATTTTACAGTTAATGCACTGTTCCCTGACGTGGTTCCACACAATCAACCCAGGTCATTTCTTGTGAAAATAACAGCAGGGTTAGGGGTAGGGTTAACTGCTGATTTTTATGAGTGTTTTCTATGTAATCCACAGTAGAGTCAATTCTAGGTTGCCAGGGTTTCCTGCGAAAGCCCTCATATGAATTCCTAGATAAACAGCATAGCGTGATCAGGATAGGAGACAATCCTCTCATTTTCATAAACCATATGAAGTAAATTCTTTTTGCTGTCCCTGCTTTACAAATGAAGAAATTGGCTTGCAGAGAAATTAGACCCAAGGTCAAGTAACTATTAAATAGGAGAGGTAAGCTTTAGAACCAAGGCACTGGGGTCTCCCCCCTTATCCACTGTGTCAAAAGATACAAAAGGCAAGAAAGTATATGAACACCAATTCATTATGACTTTAATTCTGCTAGAATTTTCTCACTGTTTCACAAACAATTAAAAATAAAAGATCTCAGTCTTGAAATTAACTATCATTTTAATAGCCTAAAGAGTTAGGTGTGTAAGGTCTTCTAATATCCATATTTATGGTAGAGAATAATTGCACATGTACAGGCCTGCATGCAGTGACACGCCGGTGAAGTTTAACAATCAGACAGGATTTATGTGTCATATTTGCCTATTTCTGTGGTGTAAATACTCCCACCATGACTGATTTCAAGCTACTGATGTGAATAAAGAGTTGAGAAGAGATGCACATTGCCACCATTATACAATATCCACTGTACAAATGCAACAGATTAAAAACCTAAGACTATAGCTCATTGTAAAAGTCAGTTAAATAATTAAGAAGTGGAAGAGATGCCTTTCCAGTATCTATTGATTTTGTTTTCAGTATAATATCTACTTGTAAGTATATGGAATTTAATTTTTCATAATATCTCTGGTTAGCAACTGACTTACAAATATCCTAAGATTTAATGTTTGGCTCTTGGGAGCCAGTATGAGCTAGTCCCAGCACACCATTCCATACAAGGCTCAAGACAATGTTTAAAAAATGTATTTATGTCTCATTGATAGGCATGAAATTATATGGGCACTCTTATGTACTGATACAATTAAAAGTGCAGTTTTGTCTCTCGAGTAAAAATATTTATATAGAACTTACCATTATTTTCAAGTTTCAAGGAATGTGTTGCATTCAGTTGTATTTGTAATTAGTGAAGTGATAATGTAGCCTTCTTTCCAATATTTAAACAAAATATCTCTTCAACATCAGAAATCATTTTAAATTGAATTTATGGTCAATAACTAGACTTTTGCCCATCAATATATAGTACTATTGTTAAAAATATCTGGTCCCATGTGAACTTTTGACCCAGGCAACATTTGCCTCTTGATTTCAAGCTACGTCTTCAGCATTGTACTGGTTATACTTTTAAGAGGGGAAGACTTCAAGAAAAAACAGACATATTAAGCATAGTCATGCTATATGATGATATTTTTCTTGAAAATGCTTTTGGAAAAAACTTTGTGTTTAAGGATCTGCTTTAAAAGCCCGTTGACCTTCATGAGGCACGAAGCATTCAGAGCCACCCCGATTCCATCAGCAGGCTGAGATGGAGCAGACTGCAGTGTTTGTAGTTCTGGTAGGACTTTGGGGGAAGGCAGTTTGTGGGTAACCAAAAATGGAGATTAGAGGTTGGGACAACCTAGACAGTGATCCATACAAAATAAAAAGCACAGATGTTTTCCAAACTTTTACAATGACCCAGTGATCTGAGTTCTTTCTATGTATTAACTCCTTTATCTGAAATTGTTGTAGTAATTGTAACAATTCCAGATAAGAAATAGTATTATCATTCATTCCCATTATGCAGAGAAGGCACCAAGAGCTTAAGTAACTTCCCCTGTGTCACACCACTACTATCATACACTGATGAAAAGTTATTTTTGATGCTGAGTTCAGGCTGTTTGGCACAAAGCCCATACTTTTCACCACTGTCCTGTAGCTCTCTCCCTAAGAAAACAAGAATTTAAGAAAATAGTATATAGAGAGAGCAGGATCCAGTATATGATCTTGGAGAATGCCTTTCAAAGACAGAATAAAGTTGAAAAACTATTAGAAGCACTAGAAAAAGAATCATTGTTGAAGACTTAGAATGTACAGTGTCATGAAAAGTAGGGAAATATAGAGGAATTTACCATCTTTAAATTCCAGAGAATATTGCAGCACTAATTACAGTAGCCAAGATATGGAAGCAACCTAAGTGTCCATCAATAGATGAATGGATAAAGAAGAGATGGTACATATACACAATGGAACATTACTCGGTTATAAGAAGAAAACAAATCCTACCATTTGCAACAATGTGGATGGAACTAGGGGGAATTACGCTCAGTAAATAAGCCAGGCAGAGAAAGACAAGTACCAAATGATTTCACTCATTTGTGGAGTATAACAACAAAGCAAAACTGAAGGAACGAAACAGCAGCAGACTCAGACTCCGGACTAGTGGTTACCACAGGGAAGGGGCTGGAGAGGGTGGGGAGGGAGGGAGAAGGGGATTAAGGGGTACTATGATTAACACACATAATGTAGGCGGGTCATGGGGAAGACAGAACAGCACAGAGAAGACAAGTAGTGACTCTATAGCATCTTACTACGCAGATGGACAGTGACTACAATGGGGGGTGGGATGGACTAAATAATACGGGTGAATGTGGTAAGCACATGTTGCTTATGTGAAACCTTCATAAAATTGTATATCAATGATACCTGAATAAATAAATAAGTACACAAATAAATAAATTCTAGAGAATGACAAGGAACATTTTTTAAAAATTATAGAATATTGAATTTGGTGATTTTTTTTAAAGGCAATTGGAGGCCAAGTGTAGGAGTTCAGAAATCAGAGTTGAAGGACCTATAAGTGGAAGAAATATGTCTTCTAAGATATTTAGCAGCAAGAAGATGAGGTTGTGTAGACATTTGACAGGGTAGTGTCCTCAAGAGCAATTTTTATTTTAGAATAGGAAAAAACAAAGCATGTTTGTAAGCACAGACAAGGATTCGGGAGGTAGGACACAAGGAAGATCCCAGAGAGAACTGAGCACGTTGGAGGAGTAACTAAGAGACGTGGGAGTGAGAATCCCAGCGAACCAAGACAGTACTTGGAAAGGCGGAAGAAGAGCATGGGATCTTTATGCTGACACCCCTCGAATTACTTAGATTCTTTTTTTTTTTTAATTATCTAGCTTCTTGAAATAGCTCCTCTCCACATTCACCTGGTACCTGAAAGAAAGATTGACAAGACCACAGGAACTAAGCAAGAGGATATATTAATTAAGATGACTTGGTTGCAAGTTACAGACCCAGCAGTAACACAATTTAAGTATACTACTTAACTTTAAGCATAGTACTAATACTGACTTAAGTGTTAATAATGAGGAGTTTATTAATAGGATGCTGGAGTGTCTCATGGCAAATGCCGAACTGGGCCTCAGGAATTAGTTTAAGCCCTGGTCCAAATCACTATAGAGACTCTACATTTAGAGTCTTCTTTCTTCTTTTGGTCTGTTTCTGCTTCTCATTGTATCTCACTGAAGTTCAACCTTTTTTGTATTCTAAGCAACATAACAGGAAAACGGACCTCCCCAACAGCTTCAAAGCTAGCATTTCTATTACAGAGGAGGGTCTGCAATCATAGTCCTCTGTTTATAGGCTCCTTCCTATGGGGGAAGCATTGTGATTGGCTGGGCTTATGCCAGGTGACCACCTCTGGACCAATCAGCTGTGGCCAGGTGATAGGGGCATGTTTTATGGACATGCCTTTTGGCACTGGGACCTCTGGATGAGTCTGGGGATAGTTCTCAGAAAAGCTTTGCAAGGTCTGCGGAGAACAGTTCTACTAAATAGAACCAATGAGGCAATGTCGTAAGATGTGGGAGTCAGACAGTCTCACAGATTTCTGGTATTTTCTGAAGTTTCATTTTCTGAAAATAGAAAAATCGACTCGGCTTGTTTACACAGCAAACCATTGTGACAACCTAGCTCATACCCAGGGCAGAGACCTGTTTCGAGCACTGCCTATTTATTCAACAAGCACAGACTGAACCATGCTATGTTCCAGATAGAGCTTCATGTTGGTTTTACTGCAAATGGACTGAAATTAAGAAATAAAATATGTGTAAAGATTTGCGTGGTAATAGTGAATGCAATTTTTTCCAATATTTTTTTATGCTTTTGTGTTTGAAACTAAAATTTCATAACTTAATGTCATCGGGAACTGAAAGATTGAGGAAAAACTCGGGGATAAAAATTACCAGGCTTTCTCTTCAACATATGTTCTGCCTCCATTGCTGTTATTTCAGACACTGTGGTGAACACATGGGCGCAGTGGACCGAAGCTCGTTCCATGCAATACCGATGGTAAATCTGCCTCTCCCCGGCCTCTTTGTCTATGTTAAACTGTTAACACAAGAAAAAACACATACATATTTGCTTATGCTGAGCCTCCTACACCAGCAAATAAAATCACATACTCCTCATATATTGTTTATCCTCAAAGCTGTATGAAATTTTATGACCACAGAAAGATAATAATACATTTTTATTAAACCCATTGTTAAAATGCATAGCTACTTAAGGATTAAAAAGTATTTTTTTGCCTCGTTTCTGCTTCCAAACTGCTATCTATCCCCTTCAGTAAATGATAATTCCACTTTGCTATAATCAGATAGAATTCTTGATTTTGCGTATTTTAATTATGTTTACTTATCTTACATTCTATAAATACTGAGCTCATTCCTTTCCCCATAAACAATGAAACAAAGCTGACACTAAACTCGATACAGAAAACAAGGACAATTATTATCATCCTTAATTCACTGAAAGGGAACCAAAGAGAAAAGCCAAATGCTTTTCTCTGACAAGAAAAGGCAAATGCTTTCCCATGGTTATATAACTCCTACTACTGTATAATTTCAGTTTCAGTGTACAGTTACTTTAATTAGATGGTGGGCTGGATTGCATAATCATCCATTATTCTGAGTATCTCAACTTAAAAAAAAAAGCCACATCCCAACAATTACTTACATAATTGGCAACGGTTATGGGCTTTTTCCATTTTACTTAGTTACCGAATGCTATGTCTCATACAGCTGCATGTGAAATTAGCAGTATTTAAGAGAAAAAAGTATGTAAAATTTCTGGCATTCTATTAGCAGGATGCTTTTCATAACAAAGATGATTCAAAGCTCAGCACCATGCCTCAGGTCCTTTTCTCAGCTAGATATCCTATTTAATGCCCACAGACCATGGAGACACATGTTTTGTTTTCATTTTACAGAGGGGGAAAATAGAAACTTTCAGAGGTTAAGAAACTTGCCCAAGGTTATGATCTTTTTACGTATCTTAGCAGAGCCCTAAATTATTCCACATCAGTCTGATGCCCAGCTTGTATCCTCGCTTGCTTTTATAGCTTTTAGACTCCTACTCAATCAACAAGTTAATCAATCCCAGTACTTAATGCATCATACAGAGGAAAATACTAAAAAAGGCTCATTAGATGATTCTAAAGATTACAAGGACATTCCTAGAGCATTCTTTCTTGACTGTAATATGTGCAACCATCTCTTGAAAATGTGTAAATCAGGGCTCTATGTGGCATCCTTGAATCAGCAGAAGTTTTCTTAAAAGTTCTATATGGCTGGTCTCACTCATTCAAAGAAGTCTCTCATTCACCCAGCAGTTGTTAAGTAATTTATGTGTTTCTGTTGCCTTCAAAGAACTTGTAAATTAGTAAGAAAATAGATAAAATTTAGGCAGAAATGAGTAAGTGCCGGAGTAAGATATAGGATCAGAGTGGGCTGCTTCACCCTGGCTGAAGATAAGGAAAAGTATCTCCTACTATCTAAGTGTACATACTGTCAGTATCACCTCTAGTATAAGATTTTCAAGGGCAAGGATCATGACTTAGTGATTTTTGTATCCCCAAGTTGATTGGATAAATAAAATGGCATTTGAAAGGGAGCATGAAAATTTAATTTGGGGAAAGATAATTTTGGATTGAAAAATTAGCTGCCCTAAAAAACAAGCACATGAACTCAAATGTCATATGCAGAAAATAGCAGGACATCTGATGTGGCTGTAGTATTGGGTGTAGAATGTAGGAGACATATTAAGTCCAGATCCTCAAAATCCCTGCAGACGAGGCTAGGAAGTGAGCCTTTGTCCTGTGCACAGCGGCACACACTGACGGGGCTTGATGAGAGGTATGGTAAATACATAGCCTATGCTATTATCTGTTATTAGTGGTGTGATGGTTGTTGTAGAGAATAATAACATTTCATATTTGAGCTTCTGCTTACTGGACATTTGGAGGTGAAATGGGATTTCTAAGTGAGTAAACCAAGGATGCCAAGACACAGGGCAAGGATAGCAGGGACCTGGCCGTCCTATGGGAGGGCTTCATGTGCACAGGCCCACGTGCATGCTTCCGCTCTTCCATGGTCCCAGGAGGTCCCTGACCATTTAGGCTTCTGGGATGCATAGCCACACATCTGGCTTTTAGGCCTCTGAGTATGCATGGCCAGACCTGTGACTTCACAGCAACCTTATGTGTTTATTCATGTTATCCACTTCTCATGTGTTTATGATAGTATGTGTGAATCTCTGTCTGACAGGATAGCACAGAGAAGACAAGTAGTGACTCTGTGACATCTTACTATTCTGATGGACAGTGATGGCAATGGGGTGGGACTGATAACCTGGGTGAATGTAGTAACCACAATGTTGCTCATGTGAAACCTTCATAAGATTGTATATACATGATACCTGAATTAAAAAAAAAATCTCTGTCTGATAATTCCAGCATCTAGGACATATCTGCACCAGGTTTTGACAATGGATCATATTTTCCTACATTGCCATGTATTTCATTAACTTCTATTGAATGTTGGATCATGTATATAAAAGAGCAAAGAATAAGGTAAAGCGTATATTAACCAGTAGAGCACAGTCCAGTGATTGAGGAGGGTACCCTCAAAACTGAAGGTGACTATCTCAGAACTTGGTCAGAGGAAAGAGTCAAAATCCATCCAATAGTTGTCTATGGCTTTCTTCAACATTTGCTAAGCCTAAACAACACTGTCCTTACATTTCCATGCAGGAAATCCTGTTCTATCAAAAAAAAAAAAAAAGAGAGAGAGAGAGATGCCAAAATATAAGAAAACTAATGGACTTTTTTTTTTTAAGCCTTAGTTATCTAGCCATTACACTTGAGGGGAAAATTGACCCATGGCTAGATTGAGAAGAATGAATTTTGAAACATATTCTTGGAGAGTCTCAGATAATTCATATGCCGGCTGAAAATAGTCGCAATGTGATTTTAGTTAATAAATTTAACTAAACATTTAAACCAGCATCCAGGTTTTGGTGAATCAGCTATTAACAAGAAATGTTTTCAGTTACAAATTAATACTTGAATAAGAAATTGTTCCAATCTTCCTGCTTTTATAAATTGAATACTTTGATTCGTGCTCTCATTTTCCCTGCATGTTTATTTAACTGAGTCAGAGCTGAGGCTGGGTCCTGCATCAAAGACTAAATTATGACTCATTTCTTCTCTTGAACTTTTAAAAACTCATGCTTGTAATTTATGTATTTTTATGTGTCACCCAAATTCTAAACCTTCTGGGAGCATAGAGGCGAGGGTCTATTGTAAAACATGATTATGGGAGTTTTTCGCTGTGAAAAATAGTTATAAGTTTAATTCAACATTTAAGTCCTTAACTACCTGTTATCTGTTAATCACTCTACTGGGCAGGACACTTTACTACAAAGATGGGCTGGGATCTGACTAAGCTTACGTATTTCAACCAGTGAGGGGCCCTGCAATGGGGAGATACATAATCCCATTTAAAAATAGAATGATATCCCTACTGGCCTTATAACAAAAGAATAAGGTTGTATTATATAATTATATTCTCTAATGCATTTGTTCCTTAAAAACATCTGATGAATATTCATCAGATATTATGAGTTGTTTTCATTCATTGTTACCATATAATGCTCTTAAGTATTCTTAATATTCAATAGACCTTCTCTAATACAGTGTTCCATAAAAATCAAAGTTCGCTCTTCTCCAGGGAAGAGGGTTGGTGAGCTTCTCACAGATCACTGGTTCGCCCTTATTAGTCGACTGTTATCTTACACCATTAGGAAATCTCCCTGATCTCCTGTCTTTCCAATTCATTGATGGCTTTACTTTAAATGTACATCTTATGTTTGCAGTGTGACCTTTAGGGAAGTTCTCATTAGGACCACTCATTGATTTGCAAATGTTAAAGTCTGTCAAAAAGAACTTGCCTACACTAAAGGTGTCTTGGAGACAGTAGTCTGACTTTACACTGTCATTATCTGGGGATGATTCATGTATTACAAACTCACAATCACACAGGCACCCACTCTGTTTCACAGAATCCTAGGACTTTTTAAACTGGAGAAGTCTTTAGAAACCAACTTTCCAACTGTCTAATTTTCCTGATATTGACACAGAACCCTAAAATGCTCAGTTGATTTGTTTGGCAACATAGATACGAAATCTGTCTAACTCCTGATTTTATGGCACTCAAATGCTTTGTTGATATTATTGCTATGAGGATATAGAAACATACCTTTGTTAATCTGATTTAACTGATGGAAAATGGAAGAAAGAAGTCAAAACTTTGGGTCGTAGAATTGGGTAGCCTTGTAAAATGAGCAGACCCAGCTGTCCGTCACTAAGCACCCTGCTTTGAATAACTATCTGACTTGAGTGCCACAAAAACTTTACCTACGCATTGCAGAGTTCCAGGAGAAATCTGACCTTTTGTTCACTTGGAGAGCAAGTTGTATAGAAACCTAGAATCCCTGTTGTGTACCTGCCCTCAGAGCTGTGTGTGAATCCAGGGTCTCACAGCATTTCCAAAGCTTCAGAATAGACAGAAGTCCAGCCTTGCATTCACACAGTGTCCTACTCCTACCACGCCTCTTTCTATCTTGTATCTATTCGTCCAAAGCAGGCAGGCACCCGGCCTGTCACCAATACACTCAACTGCACTCTGAACAGAGTTAAACTATACGAGCTCCCTGTCACCTCAGGGGAAGCTTGTCATGAATATTCACTAGTTAAAAGGGCATTTCTGCCATCTGGCTGGCAGATGAAATGTAAAGATCAATACTCCCCAACCTTCAGCTTCAAGGATTGGAAAGAAAAGCGGTAAGGGGAAGAAGGAAGGAATATTTACCTTATCAAGATGGTTATAGAAATCAATGTTTGCTGCACAGAGATACCTCCCAAGCAGTGTGGCGTGGGTGGTGAATATTGTAGCAATAGGAAGTTTCCGAGCTCGGGAAAGGATCAGTCCAGTTCCAGATTGCCATTCATGGAACTGGGCAATGACATGCTTCCCGTCGGCAAGATCTGTCACCTACATTAGAAAAGAAGCATTTAGAAAAGTTGTTGGTGAAGCTAGATCTTGCTCATGGCCCAAAGCACCAAGTTATCATGACTGTAAATTTTAGCATAATTTAAAGGGATCTAAATATGAAGCATGCAAGTTTAGCAATGACAAGTGTTTTATCGGATTTAGTGGTATGCTCATAAAGCCCATATATTTTTATGGCATAATCTTCCCTACCAGTAATGGATCACATTTATTTTTGTATCAACAGAGGGATCTCATAAAATAAATGCACACTAGGCACTCAGTAAATATTTACTGCATGGCTGAATGAGTAACAGCAGTGATATCCTTGCAGATATCATTAAACAGCTGAATCAGCTGGGGCTACCCACTCAGAAACTTCCTTTTAAATAAACAATAAACAATTTGTGTTTAAGTCCATCTTAGTAGTATTTTCTGTTCCTTGAGGTCAAAAGCATTTTAACTGATCAATTATTTTAAGAATATGAAACTGGGGGTGGGAGAAAAGGCTAATAACTTAGAATCAAATTGTAATGTAGTAACACTGAGGACCCAGGTCTAATTCTAGGTCTAACTCCAGGTCTAATTCTAAAATGAAGGAAAGCATCAGTTTCATCACTTTAAAGTTACCTTCTTTCACCCTTTACAAAAAATTAGTATTTACATTCCACTCCACTTACGACTATTTCTTTAATGGAGCAGTAGGCCCTGATGGTGCAAAACACCTGACACAAGACGCCGGAGCAGAGAATCGAGAACCTCAGACAGTGGTTCTCACTCTCAGCATACATCAGAATCACCCAGAAGGCTTGCCAAGCACTGATGTCTGGGTCCCATCCCTAGATAATCTATTCAGTAATTCTGGGAAGGGGGCAAGAATTTGCTTTTCTTACAAGTTTGCAGGCAATGCTGCTACTAGGGGTCCATGGAAATAGTCTTCGGGGGCCATGGACTTAGGCTAAGGCCTTTGGTTTTTAAAGTACCTGCTCTTCAAAAAATTCCACACATCTATTACCCATTGTACAGATCAGTAGCAGCAAAGGGGAGGCTATAGCAACAGGGCTTGCCCGGCAGCCTTAGGATTTTCCCAAGGTCTCTACCCTTTGAATCGAAGACAATCTCTGTTTCCCAAACTATTTTATTTTAGAGAAAACAGAGGCTCTCCCTTTCTTGCTTCTCTCCCCTCTATTTCCCTTTAACAGAAGGGATGAGAGCAGAAGGATGGACGGGGCGCACAACACACAGAGGCTAGCCTCAGCCCTGGGGACAGTGGCTCCAGGAGGCAGTTTGCAGAGGAAGAGTTGGTTCCAAGAACTGATGCTAAACAAGAGGCACATTGCCATCAGTCCAGGTCCGTCAGCACCCTCACCCTGCTTTTCCTATTCTGTCACCAACACAAAGCAATGATACTGCCCCCCCACCCGACCTCCCCTTCACCTCATGGCAGCCCTGTATGGCTGTTGGAATATGACTCCATCAGCAATAAAAACTGGTCAAGGGGACACACTCTCAACACAAAGATCTGTGATGTGTCCTTAGACCACACCCCCACTTTGCTAGTTATGCTCTTTCTTCACCATCTGACTTTTTTTCAAGCCAGCCGTGGTCACCTTGAGGTAATGCAAGGAATGCAAAGAAATCCTACTGCTTTGTTTTAAGGACTGAAGAGAGTGCAAGTTTGGCTCACTTGATTTCTAATGCTCTTGCTTTTTTACATCTGTAGGATATTTCACTGCTACAGAATCCTTACCAACTGCCGAGATCACGTCATCCCTTAGCAAATGATGAAAACACCTAAAAGCCACAGCAGTTGCACAAGTACTTTGCATAAACCAAACCAAATGTTTGAAGCTATTTCTTACTCCCTTGATTCTAGAGTTCATGTACATAATGCATGCTGTATAATACTTTTTTCTGGCATATACATTGAGTATTTAGCAGGCAATATAATTGGGTGTTATACAAGTCATTTGATTTAAATCTGACATAAGGTAAATCTGAATAAGCATTATTATTACCCTGTTCCAAAGGCTGGTTGGAGGAATGCTGAACATTTTCCCAGATTCCTTTGAAATGTATTAGGACAATAAAAAGGGCCTCATCTCAGAATTTCTTAATTTAAAGATGAGTGGGTGATCACTGGGCACAGCGTGCAACTGTGCTCCTTCTCTGTTACAGGACTACACAGTAAACTGTACCTCTTTTAAGAACCAGGCAGTTAAAGATCCAAATATCAGCATATCATTGGCTTCTCGGTCGTGATAAGGGATGCCGACACTGCATGCTTCCCAGAGGTCACCCTTCCACCTGTCCAGGTTCCAAGCCGAAGAGCCTATGTCAAAGAGCACCACATAAGGACTCCCTTCTATCAGCCATCTTCCAAAGTGCACCTGCCATGTGAAGAACACACAGCCACGTAGAAATACTAGGCAATGCAAGGGAGGGAAATGCACTTGCGCTTAGAGGATGTAAACTTCATTTAGAGCTCAGCAGATTACCCAAACTCTGTAGGAAACCGTAGTGATAACACAGCATCTGCTCTTCAAGCCTAACAATGGGATGGGCTTGCAGCCATTTGTCTTGAATATCCAAGTTCTTTGCTCTTCATTAAATTTGGTCTATTGAAAATGAGGTATGTGGATAATGTAATCCCTGTCTTTCTGTCACTCCTTACCCTCCTGTGACCTTGAACTCATGGTTTTAAGATTTAATATTATGGTCCACATTTTTATGACAAGTCATAGGATGAATGGCTATATATCTTCTACAACTTGTAGTTGGATATAATGTCTACTGTGCCACTTTATGCAGCAGGACTTAACAATATTTCCTGCTGGAAAAACATTGTTTCTGTAGACAAATGTGCATGATTTCTCTTATTCCTCCTATCAAAATAAATGGCACAAAGTATTTCCCAGTATGATTGCTACCAGAGGTCTTAACTAAATATATTGCACAAGATACTCTATCTGTGATCTAGCAGCTCAAAGTCTAATTCTATTATCTTCTTCGAATTGACTTTTTTATTTCAAAATGTTTTACCTTGTGCTATTTTTAATGCATTATCCATCTCAAAATTTTTCCAATTGTATTTATACAGTAACTTGCATATTCTAACATCTCTTTTGGTCTCTATTTTTCTATAGTGATTAACTAATTCTTTTGTCTTGATTTTTATTTTATATTTATTCTTCTTTTGCATGGTATGCAAGAGCCATAAATGACTTCAAACCCTTCTTGGAAATTGGCAGAAGCTAAGAGCTTCTCTCATTGGGTAGCCAGGCCACCCTAGTAAACTGAATGTATCTACATTGTTTAGTTTGGACCCTTCTGACTCCACCCAAGGCTGAACTTTGCAGAGCTTGGAAGCCCATCTCATCACTGTCTCTTTCCTTGAGACTCAAGAATGAACAGTGATGTCTTTTTCCCATCCATGCCTTGGCCAGCTTTGAAATACCCTCATTACATGTCAATTGCTTCCATTGTAATTTGGCACTCTTTCTTTTTTCAACTGAGTTTTCCTGAACCCCAAACAACTTTTCAATTGTCTGCTCTTTGGGTTTATGTATTCATTCAATGAAGAGGTATTGATTACCTAATATGTGACATATAAACAATGAGCTAAGATCATACAGAACTGTTAAGTACAGAGAATATAAGTTAGCCTGTCTTGACCACCAGTGAGCTCCTACCTGTGACATGGAAATATCTTTACATCAGAAATCCATTCAGAATCTTGAGAACAGTCAGTTCCAATTATGTTTTCTATCTCTCTCTTCTTTTGCAAGAGCCTTAAATGCAAGCCCCATGTAATATCTCACTTATTTCTTCCCTGTAATACAACATCCCAGTTCTCTATGCTACCCTTATTATGATATATTTCTCTGGTAATATTTCCTTTTAAATTAAGTATTCTGCACCATAAACTTTGCATGTACCTCCTGGACACCACTACCCACATGGACATCTCAGTGAGGGCTTCTTCTATACCCAGAAACTATATTCCTGGAGTATGAAGGAAACTTCATATTTTTAAAATTACCCTGAAACTTTTAAAGCCTTATTCTTCATTTATATATAAGACATCATTGAAATTTACATTATCCAAATATGTTACCTTTCCTGTTCTAAAAATCACCTGGTTGCATTTCCACCTTACTCTGGGAAACTTCAAAATGGAGTTTTTTAATCCTACACACTTAGCTCATAGTTATTTGACCTATTGACTTTGAAGGACTTCGTGTCCACTGCATTTCAGCCACCCACCCAAGCCTATAGCTACATTCTTATCCTTGTCAAAACCCAGACTGCTCCTCCTCTGAAATATTCAGGATTCACATTCTAGCACTTGACCACAACTTCTGTACTTTCACTTCCCTCCCTCTGTTTTCCCAGCATATGTGTGCTTTCTTCTTAATCTTCAAGGCCTCCAGTTCAAGAACCTTCCGTTATTCTCCTACATCATTAGCTCCTTTCTGGCTTAGCTTCCTTTCCTATCCATTTCAGGCAGAACTGTCCCCCAGCCTGACCATTCATTCAGTCAACTGCACATTTATTTCCAACACTAGTATTGGAACACTTGCCCCATTGCACAAATGCCAAAATTATACAACATCAAATCTCCAGCTATCCAACTTACTGCACTTTCTCTCAGGCCTCTAATTGCGTCTGGGGAAAGTCATAGTCATGTATAATTGTGCCCCTAAAATGTCATGGCTATATGTCAAGATGTCCAGAAATTCTTTTACCTATTTCTTGAAACTTTTTCACAATTTCTTCCTTCAGATTCTCTTCCCTCCTAACTCTCATAAGATGATCTTTAATTCCAACTTTAGGAACATCATCAGAAACATTGAGGGTGACCATCCTGAATTCTTCATCAAGTGTATCTCTATTTCTGTTCATCCTTTTTTCCCTGTTTGAATGAAAAGATCAAGAACAATCCTTCCAATAAGCCTTTGGCTCTTATTCCCTCTCCAGTTCTCTGTGGCCTTACTCTCTTTAATTATCCATTTCTTCTGAACTTTCTACTTCTCCCTGTCTGTTAGTTTTTTGGGGTTTTTTGTGGCAAATAAATATGCTCAGATCTCGCTCACATTTAATAAAACACTAATTCTCAAAACCATGTCACTCTTCAGAGAAAAAAATCTCATGGCCACAACTTCTATATCCTTTCACCCACTAGCTACTCATTCCTCAACCCACTGCAATCTGATTTTACCTCCACTTTTCCCCTGAAGTTGTATTTAGCAAGATTACCATGAATGACCTGAATACTGCTAAATCCAACTGATCCTGCCTCAGTCCTTTGTTGACTTAATTCCTCCTCCATACATGAAACTCTCTCTTCCTTGTCTAGACCTCACTATTGCTGTTGTTACAGCAATAAATTACCACAAACCTAGTGGCTTAAAACTATACAAAGTTATATGTATAGGTCGGGGACCAGTAGTCCAAAATGGATCTAAGGGTTAAAATCAACACGTTGGCAGACTTATATTCTGCTGGTAGTGTCCAGGGGAGAGTCTGTTTCCTGGCCTCTTCCAGCTTCTGGAGAATATCTGCTTTCCTTGGCTCTTGGTCCCTTCCTCAATCTTCAGAGCCCATTAGGCCAACCTCTGCTTCCACTGTCACATCTCCTTCCTGATTCTAATTCTACTGCTTCCCTCTTTTAAGGACCCTTTTAAGGACTCCATTGGGCCCACCTAAATGATCCAAGGTAATCTCCCTATTTCAAGACCTTATCATAAGCACATCTACAAAGTCCTTTTGCTCTATAAGGTAACGTATGCCCAGGACTGTGAGGACTGGGATTCCGACATCTTTGGTCCTGTATCACTAGCTGAGCCTCTGCAATCTCTGAGTTCTTTCAATGTAGATGATTTAACATGTTGATATTCCCCAAGGTTTGGCTCAAACTTTTGCTCTTAGTCTATACACTTCCACTGAACAATATTAGCAACACTGATAATGTCTAACTACAATCTAAATGCAAATGAACTTGCCAAAACATCTCTAGCCTATACCTTCGGCTGAGTTCCAAACCTATTATTCTACCAGACATTTCCCTATGGTTTTCAAAAGGTGCCTCAAATATAACCTGATTATGATCAAATTCATCATCTTTCTTTCAAACCTGCTCCTTGTCCCTAAATTGATGAGTGATCCTCTCTTGTGAGTTCATATAAACTGTGGTTTGTTTTCCCACAACCATCCACTAAGACCTGCCGAGTGAAGCGCAGTCAATATCCCTTACCTGGCAGCCGTGTTTATTCATTACGTCCACTGCTCTTCTAATAGCATCATTTGTAGGTTCACACGGTTCCACCTGTGTCTTCATATTATGCTCAAAATATGGGCCAATCAGAAAATAATTGTCTCCCCACTCATCTGCTGTGGTTCTGGCCTTTGTCTGAATCACAGTATAGATGCCACCGACTGTCAAAAAGAAACAATTCCAGCATCATTCATTTTAAGCATGGAAGGCGTGGAAATGAGTTCTCATTCTTAAATAAGCACTTAGGATCCATCAGGCACAAGCATTTATTTAACTTTCTAACTAAAGTGTGTAAAGGACACTAACAAAAAGTCACTCCTAGGCTCTGTGCATGGTGCTACCACTCACGCTCCCCACCAACAGCCTCCAAGCTAAGTACTATTTCGTATCCACCGAAAAGATGAGCTGATTGAACCCTAGACCTGTTGAATTAACTAGTTCAATTTAAGTTGCTGCCAATTTTTCACCACCATAAGGCTTCAAAGAGCATCCTTACACGCATATCTTTTGGCGCTCTTCTTATTTTCCCCCCAGGACAATTTTCTAGATGTAGACACGCCGGATCCGAGGATGTGTATATTTTCCAAGAGGAAATGTCTTTTTTTGACTTTGTGTTTTACTAGTAGTGTCAATAATGCCAGAGAGGACAAAATGAAATACTGTGCGAAAATCTGTGTTTGTGTCATTAGGTTTGGCATGAGGGTTGGGCCAGTCATGCCTCCTTAAAAATCTATCAGCAATTTTCCTCTTGTCTAAAGGTATCTTGCAAGAGAAGTGGCTCTTCAGCTTGGGACACTTGTTCACAATTTCAGCAGCAGCTGTTCCTTGGAAACATCTCGGACCACTGTAGGAGAAAGATGAAAGGTGACTACTCCTGCTGAGGGCATGTGTCCTGACAAGGGTTGTTTATGTCAACTTTGACACTTCAACGCGGATGGAATTTGAAGCCATGTTGTGCTTCATTCCGATCATCTCTTCAGATTTCCTCAAAACGTCTGTACTTCTCTGCTGCTGCCAACCTGCTGCTCTCCGTCTGACATGGCACCAGAAGAGGCTTTAAAAATGCACACACAGAACAACCCAGGAGGGCAATGAAAAAGAAGAACTTTCCCTTAAGGTGTGAGAGTCACATCTTAGCAACATATTTAAATATATATACATATATAAGCTCTACTTCAAACTCATTATCTGCAAAAATGTGAAATCTTCAAATAATTTCTTCCCTTCTGCAGACTTCTTTCATGTTCATCCATCAGGGGACTGTATTATCAGGTTCTGAGGGCACACATTTATTAAATGCCTTACACTTCTGTTCTTGAAAACTCTCATTTATTTGCAACTGCGTATCTTGCTCAGAGATCTTAGGCAAGATACTTGTTAGAACATGTGTTTCAAATTCAAATACTCTGAACATAAATGCAAACACATTTTTTACTTGCTAAAGGACTAAAGGGAGAAGAAAAATTCTTCATTGAAAAACAATGAATGGTTAGATCTGGGAATTGAAATGCAAAGATAAAAATAATTAATTCGCTACTTCTTTTTCCCATGTGAGCCCTTCAGTTCCCAAATAGCCCCACGGTGTTCATAAATACTATGGTTGTGTTCTTTCAGTCTATCAGAAATACAAATATAAAATTTAAAAACAAAAGTCCATCCCACATTGGTTGAGGCCTAGTGATAACTCTTTCCACCCCCGCCTTCTTCCTGTATAGTCTTCCTGTGAGGAGGTACTCTTAACTGCTACTTCACACACTCAAGCACCACTTTAGCCTCTCTCTGTCCTCCCCATATTTATATGCAAATACTTTCACTTGGATTTTACTCTTTTTACCACATTTTGACCTAGACTCCTCTCCTGGCATGCCAATTACGGTGAGTGTGATGGCGTAGAAGTAGGGTCATGCCTCTTTTTAAATCTGGAATATTAGCAGGAGTCACCAACACATATTTTTTAATGAATTATTGTTTTACCACAGTGTAGGTCACTGAATTTGGACTTGCCCTTCACGTTCAAACATGCACTTTGTATTTTATTGATCTATATTCCCCTGAAACAACATGAGAGCTATCTTTAGTGTGAGGGCCAAGTGTCAGAAAGAAAAGATGAGCTTCCCTGGCACATGTCACCGAGGCAGCTCAAACCCCACGTTTTCATCCAGAAACACGGCTGCTATTCCTAAAACCTGGATGGCAAAGCTGGGTGGAATGTGGTCCCAGCCCAAATAAAGCAATATATCTATATTAGATAGTATATGTTACATATAATAAGGCCATATATATTACATATTATATAGTAAGGCTACATATGTTTTATGTAATAAGGCTATATATTATATAAACATATATAATTGGGAGAATCTTCACTATTTTTTGAAAGCTTAAAAGTTACAGAATTCAGAAGTCATGACTCCGGCATGCAAAGCTCCTGGTCTGATCCCAGATAGAGAGACAGAAGCAGAAGCGGTCACTCACTGACATCTTCCTCTGAGGCAGCAGGGCTGGTAGGAAAGAGAGTAAATGCTACTGGTGACGACGGCTGAGAAATATTCGTGTGTCCAGTGCTTTGCTGGTTCTGGGGTCCAAATCAAAGCAGCTGCGGTCTGGGGCTGTGGGGCACGGTACCCTTAGAGCAAGACCACAGGCACATCCCCCTCTAACTATGCCTCAATGGCAGCTCAGACGTGTAAGTCAGGAGGGGCTCAGACACGGCAATCGGATACAGAACAAGTGGGGAGACCTGGGCTCATCCTGAAGCTCCGTGTGAGCCAAGGATGGTTTCCACGTGGACTGTGAGCTTCCTGGGCTGTGGCTCAGGACGTCACTGAGCGGCCGGCCCAGAACCACACCAGGCACAGAAACCTCAGCCCCCACTGGCTGTGACCAGGACCTGTGTCTTCTTCCCCCTTTCTGCTTCTGCACTTAAAAATAGAATCATGGAACCACTCAAAGTGAAAGTCAGTAAGAAAACGGAGGCTCCAACATCCTCATTTTATGAGTGAATTTTATGAAGAAATAATAATAATAAACTAACACCTATAGAATGTTTATTAAATCCTAGGCACTGTTCTAACTGGTTTATACTTGTTATTTATTTTAGTTTCACACAGCATTACAGGGAGATGCCTTATTCATTTTTACATGGGGAAACTGAGGCACAGGGAGTTTATGCGATGGATGCAACATCACACAGGCAATGATGGAGGTGGGATTCTAATCCAGGTAGTCTGACATCAACCGCCAAACTGTAAATAACTGTATCTAGCAACATATAGATAGATCTTTAAAAGTGGTGGGTGGGAGGGACAGAAGAAGAAAATGAGCAATATCACAAAAAGATAAACATCTTGAGGTCTTGGGGAGGATGGAATTGCTTTTATTCTGCCCTAGAGGAAAGTCATTTGGAAAACAATACTTAGAGGAAACAGAATTTTATTTGTGTTCTTGGAACTTCTGGGTTGACAGGAAGGAACCCTCTCACATCAATCATCGAGGCCTTTGGAAATGATGGGCGTTTTGAGACTCTTTCTCCAGAAAAGTACTTACATAGCTGGGCACACAGCTTGCAGATACAATTTTAGAAGGTTTACAAACTCCTTGAAGTCCACTTTTACCAAGGTCCTACCTTCCTTACTCCTGCCCCACAAAAGTGAACTTACAGTTAGGATCCACTTCTACCTGCCATTTGACTATAGTTTTCAGTTTTTCTATGCACCTTTCATACCATGTGACCCAGAGCTTCCGGGTCCAGTTTGAGGAGGGAGTAGGTAGAAGTATTATGTCTGGCAATGTGATGGTTTAGGGCTAAAACATTGCTACTCAGTTGATTTTAAAAGAGAAGCATTCCTTTAGCAACTACATTTCAGCAGTGTCCACGTGTATTAAATAGGCAAATAAATGTCATTATTTTTGACAATATTCATTAGACTTTTTAATGATACTAAATATCCTCAACATGATAATTGGCCTGTAGTCGACAATGATTTGGGCAAGTCTGTGCAGAAGAAATGATTGTAGGAAGGCCTGAGCAAAGTGAGAGAAAGCAAACATTTCAGTTTCCAATATTTTGGCAAAACTCTCCATTCTAGGTCATGCCAGAGCCCCCAACTATCAATAGCGTTTTTTCAAAAATGTATCTATTAGCACTTTCCACCTTTCAGAACTTTACTGTCTTCCCATCATTCATGGGGTGGGCGTAAAACTCTTTAAGGCTATTAATTCACCATAAACTTCCCCAAACTAGCCCCCGCCCTCCTGTCTGCTCTCTCACTCCATGCCTGTTCCCTCTGTGAGCTTCCCTCACATCTTTGAATTCAAGAGAATACACTTGCTCCCCTCTGCCTCTGGACACACACAGTTTCCTCACATGGAAGACTGCCCCCTGCTCCGCCGTCTTTACCCAACAGCTGCTCATCCTTGTGGGAGCTCAAACGTCTCTTCATTAGAGAGGCTTTTCCCCAACCCCAAACTAGATAGAAAACTCCCTCACCCCACAGCCAATGTATGGTTTTAAGAGCATCTTGTTCTCTTATTCTTACACATACTACATTTGACTATAAATGCACTCTCAGTGTCTATCTACCTGAAAGTTTGTGAATTCTGCAAGACTGGGAATCAGTTCTGTACTGTTAAGCTCTGCCTCTTTCATTTCCCAGCGCCTGACCCCATAAACACTTGATGAGTCTGTATTGAATAATAAATGGCTAACAATAATAAATGGGTGAATGAATAAAAGTAGTGAATTTCAAGGGTAATATGAACAAGTGGAAAATGTTATTTTGAGGTCTGAGAGTTAACATTCAATAATGTAATTAAGACTCATTTGTTATAGTTTACATACTTACATTGTTAATGGAATAGTTCTGGCAGTGAGGGGTTTGTTTTCTTGTATGTGAATACATTTCTTTGCTTTCCACAAAATATTACAAAATGGCATATCTCATTAATCACATTCATGAAGAAGCTGATATTCAGGTCACTTAAGGGACTGTTTTCAAAGTCTCAGAAATTCATGACCTTTGACTGCAATGGAGGTTTTCATTTTTAATTCTTGAGGCTTTTGGAGTAAAAAAGAGAAGTGGACTTGGAGGAGACCTAAATGCTAGTCCAACCCTGCCATTTGCT